CAAAATGTCAATAACTATTACCAAGCGTAAAAGCTGGATTTGCGGATAGTAACAGAGAAACCAGTTAAGTCCATTAACCACAAGGTGGTGGTATAGTGGTAGTCGAGCTTTGGGATTTGTTAAGCAACCCAGGTTCGAAGGCACCCCACTACATCTTACCTTGTGGCCACGCGGATATGAGCATATCTTACGGCCCATTTGAATATCCGGAATAAGGGTCTATCCGTAGGCAGCACCACTCCTTTGGAGATTAGTTTGTGCCTCTTCATGAGCCTGGATTAAACAAAAAAAAAAACCAGTTAACTCTCAGTAAATGATGTCGGAACATCGTACGATTAGTGATCGCAAAACCTACTCTCAGTTAAATTCCTTGGTCGTTTATTCAATATTGCATGTTGTCGAAAGAAAAAAACTAAGAAAATCCTAGATCAATAGGTCTAAGCACCATATGTTCCTTTCTCAAACGGATTTGATTCTTCATAACGTAATTGTTATGTTTCCTGTTGTGACAGATGTGAGAAGATATAGATTAACAGAGTAGATGAACAGAGAAGAAAGACACAGAGATTTAACGTGGTTTGATCCACGGGCAAAAGGAGTACTTTATTAGTGGAGGCTAGTTTTTCAGAGTATAAATCGTGTTACAGAATAGTGTAAAACCCTAAAGATATATAAGAAAACGTTTAATGAAACTTTCCATNAGATGAACAGAGAAGAAAGACACAGAGATTTAACGTGGTTTGATCCACGGGCAAAAGGAGTACTTTATTAGTGGAGGCTAGTTTTTCAGAGTATAAATCGTGTTACAGAATAGTGTAAAACCCTAAAGATATATAAGAAAACGTTTAATGAAACTTTCCATATTTTCTCGGATTTGACACATATCGACCGATATGTGTCGGCTCAGATCGACCGATACATGACACCTGTATCGATCGATTTGTCAGCTCGCAGATTCAAGGCATATTTCAACAAATCTCCACCTTGACTTGAATCCTCCATAATCAGATGTACCAGGATGCACTTCTTTGTGCTCAGATGTACCAGACTCTCTCTTTGCCTCAGATGTTCCGTCGAACTCAGATGTCAGATGTCTCGTCGGACCAGACGCTCCTCAGAGCCAGATGCCCCTTAGGGCCAGATGCCCATCAGGGCCAGATTAACAGCTTGAATGTTCAGAAAATCAAGACAATGCTTGAACTTGCTGTGGGGAACCGGCTTAGTGAACGTATCTGCAGGATTATCAGCTGTTCCTACCTTCTTCACTTCAATCCTCTTCCATCTCTCAGAAAATGGTATCTCACATCAATATGCTTGGTTCTCTCATGATGAACCTGATCATTGGCTAAACAGATAGCACTCAAGCTATCACAGAACACAGTAGCCTGATCATGATGAAGACCAAGATCACTAACCAATCCTCTTAACCATATTGCCTCCTTAGCAGCTTCTGTCAATGCCATATATTCTGCCTCAGTTGTAGACAAATTCACCGTCGACTGCAAAGTCGCCTTCCAGCTCACAAGAGAACCACCTAAAGTAAATACATAACCAGTCATAGATCTCATGCTGTCCACATCTCCTGCATAATCTGAATCATAATAACCAGTAACCAGTCTTGGATCCTTGTCCCCATAGACAAGACCAACATCAGATGTATCCTTAAGGTACCAGAAAATCTCGAACTCAGAATCAGCAGCTCTTTCAGCTTCTGAACATCATACATCTTCTTGGAAGCTATCAGCTTGTCATCTACATACAACACCAGGTAGATACACGAAACATCCTCCACCTTGCTTATGTAAAAACAACAATCATAAGGACTTCTATCGTAGCCCAACTTGACCATATAGCTGTCACACCTCTTGTACCACTTGGGAGTTACAACCTTTCTCCTAGGTGATAGTGTGACCAAATCCCATGTATAATTCTTCTCATGAGAATCTATCTCATCTTCCATTGCAACAAACCATTTCTCAGACTCAGAACTAGAAACAATTTCTCTGTAAGTGCATGACTCATAAGTATCCACTTCCTCAGCAACCTGCAGTGCATAACCCACCATATCATCAAAGTGATATCTCTCTGGTGGCCTGACATCAACTCTCTCTGGTTTATCTCTAGCATTGCTGCATTTTTCAAACTCAACACGTTGATTTCCAGAAATAGAGAACTCGTATGACGTCAATCGTTCGATCCCTTCTTCCGATGTCGATCAATACTGACCTTCCGACGTCGATCGATACTGACCTTCCGACGTCGATCGATACTGAACATCTGACATCGGTCGACACTGTTGATCCGTCATCGATCGACACTGTTGATCCGTCATCGATCGACACTGTTGATCTGTCATCGATCGACACTTTTGATCTGTCATCGATCCACACGGTTCATCCGACTGCACTTCTTGCAGCTCCACCTTTTTGTCAAAATCCCCATTCCTTTTCTCCAAACCTTCATTAGAAAACATGCACCTCGTTCTCTCTAGCAAAGTTTGGTTCATATCTGCTACACCATTTTTCTGTGGTGTATCTCTCTGACTGTAAGATGCTTTGTGGTTGTTGCATCCTTACAAAACTGATTGAACTCTGATGAACAAAGTTCCAGACCATTTGCTGAAACTGTAGAACCTTCCAGCAAATACAGAGTACCGTGAATGAAACCTCTCAGAATCACATCTAAACCCTTGTAGACACTCAGAACTCCATCTCCACCTGAATACTTGAAACCTCTGCTATCCAAAAGACTAACTGAGATCAAGTTCTTGGACATAGCTGGAATATGTCTAACTCCGGTCAATGTGCAGACTCTACCACCATGTGCCCTGAGCTTTATCGAACCGATTCCTGCAACATCGCAAACGAAGTCATTCGCCATCTTGATCTTGCTATCAGTCACTTCCTCATACTCTGAGAACCATTCCCTTCTTGGACACATATGATATGACGCTCCAGTGTCTAGAACCCACACATCCCTAGAATGTGTTTTTCCATAAGCAATTAGAGCAATATCGTCATCAGACTTAGCTTCATTCTCTGCTACAGCAGCGGAATCAGCTTGCTTCTTCTTTTTAGAACAATCAAACTTCCAGTGTCCTCTTTCATTGCAATAATGGCAAATATCAGTTGGCTTAGGACCCTTTGTAAACGATCTTTTGTCTTTCCCAAAGTTCTTTCCACCACCTAAAAACAACCCAGAAGCTTGGTCATCTGTACCAGAACCTGATGCCTTGTGACGCAACTCCCTGCTATGAAGTGCCTACCTGACTTCCTCCAAACTCACTGTATCCTTACTCCCTATGAATGACTGAACAAAGTTCTCATATGAGTTAGGAAGTGAAACCAATAAAATCAGTGCCGCATCCTCATTCTCCACATTAACGTCAATATTCCTCAGATCCAACATAATGGAATTTAGACTATCAAGGTGATCCTGAAGTTGTGTACATTCATGCATCCTCAGAGCGAAAAGACGTTGTTTCAGAAGTAGCTTCTTAGTTAGAGACTTCGTCATGTATAGACTCTCCAACTTCAACCACAAATCAGTTGCAGTATCAACACCAGAAACCTCGATGATGATCTCATCTGCCAGACACAACAAAATCGTTGAATACGCCTTCTCTTCAGTAACCTCCATCTCAGCGGTAACAGATTCAGTCTTCTTCCCTGAAAACGGTGCCCAAAGACCTTGTTGCTTCAGCAACGCCTTCATCTTGATTTCCCAGAGACTGAAATTGTTCCTTCCAGAAAACTTATCGATCTTCATGTTCATCCCAGACATCTTCTCACCAGATTCAACCCAAAGCTCTGATACCAGTTTGTTGTGACAGATGTGAGAAGATATAGATTAACAGAGTAGATGAACAGAGAAGAAAGACACAGAGATTTAACGTGGTTTGATCCACGGGCAAAAGGAGTACTTTATTAGTGGAGGCTAGTTTTTCAGAGTATAAATCGTGTTACAGAATAGTGTAAAACCCTAAAGATATATAAGAAAACGTTTAATGAAACTTTCCATNAGATGAACAGAGAAGAAAGACACAGAGATTTAACGTGGTTTGATCCACGGGCAAAAGGAGTACTTTATTAGTGGAGGCTAGTTTTTCAGAGTATAAATCGTGTTACAGAATAGTGTAAAACCCTAAAGATATATAAGAAAACGTTTAATGAAACTTTCCATATTTTCTCGGATTTGACACATATCGACCGATATGTGTCTGCTCAGATCGACTGATACATGACACCTGTATCGATCGATTTGTCAGCTCGCAGATTCAAGGCATATTTTAACATTTCCCATGTTCGGTTACTTCCTCATCAACCTTCAGTGATGTCCTCATCAAGAAAGTCCTTATCATACTACTTCCGTCGAAAGAAAACCTTTAAATTAAGATAGTTTTCGCTGGATATCATTAATTGCCAATCATGTGATCCTTGTTATTAGGAGAGCCCACGTGAGACCTCTGTTTCTCATGTTAACGCTGTTTTCAAAATTGACTGATGTGAATCGAACATCAAAGGGGAAGAAGTATTTAAGTTTTCACACTTGTTTATTGCCAATCAAGCGATCCTTTTGTTTTCACATTTTCTATTTTTTGGCTACATTTTCTCATTTTCTATATATAACTTAATAGTTTATTTTTGAATCATTAATAGCTTTCTTTTGTTTTCACATTTTCTAAATATATATAATTTCGTCAACACGAAACTATTGGATTACTAGCACACACAAAAAAACTTGCACTGATATTTGATTTAAGAACTTTAAAATGTGTTTTCCAAGACAACAAAAAAGTTGGGACAAAGTCTGACGCACAAGCCGCTTCACTCTCCGATCTGATGAATTCATTTCTGTAGCTGTAAAACCACATATCCCTAATTTTATATTTGGTGAGCTGTTTCCCGGTTACTTATTATACACAACAACCAAGTTAAAACCTGGATTTGACTCTGAAAAAAGTATCAGAAATGAATTACAAATAAAAGAAGATCTGAGAGATGGAAGAAGAGCTCAAGTTATTCATCATAATATGGGTTTTAGCTATGGTCTTAGTATCTTATTGTTACTACTTATCAACTAGAATCAAATCTGGCATTTTCAGATTAATATCTGTTCTTCCCGTTTATGCTATATTCCTTGTTTTCCCTTTCTTCTTCTCCTCTCTGCATATGTCCTTCATCATATCCCTATTCCTCGGAGGGATTGCCAATTTAAAGCTCATCCTCTTCTCTTTTGACCAAGGTCCTCTTTTCCCAATTCCTAGTTGTCTCTCTCATTTTATCTGCTTCACTTGCTTCCCTATCAAGCTTCAACGAAACCCGAAAATTCAAAACCCTTTCTCCAAGTCTAATTTTGTTACTAAAGTTGCCATCTATGGCATGTTACTATATTGGTGTGGTTACAAACATAAGGTGCCTCCGGTCTTTTTATTTTTTCACTATTCTCTTCAATTATACTTGGAGCATGAAATTATCTTAACCCTAGTCAGACTTCTTGTGTCTGTTGCTCTTGGATGCAATCTTGAGCCAAACTTTAATGAACCGTACTTAGCTACATCTCTTCAGGACTTCTGGAGTAATCGGTGGAACCTCATGGTCCCGGCACTTCTTAAGCCGGCTATATACATCCCCGTGAGGCGGCTTTGCAATGGCCGAATGAGCTCCGATCATGCTAGGTTTTTGGCGGTTTTGATGACGTTTATCGTCTCCGGTGTGGCACATGAGGTGTTCTTCTTCAGTTTAACGTTTGAGATTCCTACAGGGGAAGTCACTTCGTTCTTCGTGTTACATGGAGTTTGCACTGCCGCGGAAGTAGCGGTGAAGAGGACGAGTTTGGCGCGGCGGTGGAGGATGAGTCCGATGGTTTCACGACTTCTGACGGTAGGGTTTGTGGTAGTGACGGGTGGTTTGTTGTTTTTCCCTCAGCTTATAAGGAGTGGAGTCATGGAGACACGAGCCAATGAAATGTTGTCGCTCATTAAATTCTTGAACCGCAAGTCTTGTATCTTCCGTTGATGATATTTATAATCATTAGTTCTTAAGGTGATCTGGTATCATTATTAGCAAACATCTACTATTTGGTGAAAAGTTTGAAAAACAAGATTTGAGTACTACTTGACATCACAGCATTCAAACATACATTTCAACTCAAGTAAGTTAGAGTTGTGTTGTGAACGAACGCGGATTACTTTTGAAGAAATCAAAGAATTTTAAGAAATCAAAACGCATTTTACCCAGTTACATATTTAAGGTTTCTACATTTTATCTGACTAACTTTTACGCTATTTTAAACTTGTGTACGCCTGTTTGTTAAGGCCGGATCTGGTCTCCAAAAAAATTTAGACTTTTTTACATAGATATAGGTCTTCAAATTATGATAAAAAGGTTATTTTTTTTTACAAATGTTTTTTTTAAATGTTCTTTAAAATGTTTAATGTTCCCAAATTCTCAGATTTGGTCCTGCTTCTCACTAGCGAAGTCTAAAAGCAAGCACGTACGTCTGTCGGATCTCCTACATGCGACATTCGTATATAATAATGAGAAAATATTACACTATAGAACAGTTTCAAGTTTATTATTACACTTTAAGGCACTTTTTACTACTAAAGTAATTATTTTCAACTAAGTCCATTTTTTCGTTATGTTCACTAACTAACACGAAATCATTTATTATTTTTATCATTAGTGGATCTTTATTTTTTTATCTCTTTCTTCTTTATCAGATCTGAGATGCCGATAATTAATCTTTTTCTTTTTCCTTTTTTATCGGTACCATGTCAAAAAATTTATCTTTTTTCTCCCACCATCACAACATCCTTACCTTTTTGTCATCGTCTTGTAGATTTCTTCATACTCAGAAGCAAACATGGGAATTTTTGTTAAGATCCGCCACCTTTAAAATTAAATCCTCCAGATCAGTCAGTTTTGGTATACCGTGAGATTGTCATGGATCAGAACCCTTACAAATGGATTGTCTTTGGAGGTAAACAAGTTCATCGTCAATTTTTTTCTTATTGTGTATCTACTGTATAATTTTCTTTCTCTGGGTTTCTATGTGTAGCTATGGTTTACGAAGCTTAGATTCTCCATAATTCCAATTTTTTAGGAGTAAATAAAGGGGCTGAAAAAACCCCCAAATTTTCTGCAAAATTTGTAATCCTAAGAGACTGATGAAGAAGATGAAATAATTACGATAATGCCATTAATGAATTAATATTAAAAGGTGTACACACAGCTATGATGTACACCTGTACGCGATACATAACATACACACCTAAATTGTACACAAAATAATAATAATTTTATCTTTAATGTATACATGTGTACATCTAGTGTTCATGTGATTTTTATAATAATCATTACTTGTGTGATGTACAAAAACACTAGTGTACATGTGATTTTCTACTGATGATATATACCAAATATGTGTACATACTTACTGATGATGTACATCAAATATGTGTACATATTGTTTTAGTGTGCAACTGAGACTATCAGCCATATTACTGAAGACATTTCTCATTGATTTTTTTTTTTAAATTGTGTCCATGTTATAGATGTAAAAATATACATTCATACCAATTGTTTAAACTTACTTATATTGTACGTACTTAACATGCATAACCATTTGTTCTTACTGATGATGTTCAATAATTTTGTGTACATGTTTTTTTGGTGTATAACTGAGACTATAACTGAAATGGTATCGATGTTATAGATTTCAGTGTCTACATGTTCAATATGGATCATTGCACATATACACAAATTTATCATGTGTACATATGGACCATTGCACATATGCACATATGGACCATTGCACATACCGGTGTACATGTGAGTTTTCATTAAACATTGCACATGTGGACACTGAAATATATATGTACATTTTTCAGATATTTACATGTACACAAATGTTTGAGTGTTATTTTTTTTGCTAGCTTAATATGTACCTTAACATGAATTTCATCTCTGTTGTGACATCATTCTTAATCATGCTTCAAACTTGTTAGAACACATGAATATGCAAAAACAATCAACACGTACATATAATGTATTATTCACATGTACCTTTAATGAATGTGTATATTTTTGTTTGTGTACACCCTAACAAGATTTTCCAAAAACACCAAACCTTAAACAAACAAAATCAAATAATGAGGTTTGTAATCAGATCATTACACAACCAAACGAAATAATCTCACTAGTATCTAAGTTTTTCGTGTATCTTAGTAAATAAGTCTTCGTCTTCCTCACTTTTAGGGTTTACTGAAACATGTACACAATGAATTTATTATTGTATTTTCTGTACACTCAAAAACAAAGGTAAATCACAAGCACGTGCATCATTATGGCCTCTAAAAAGTAGATAATTTTGTATCCATGTGGACAATGAAAAATGTGTTTATGAAGTAAGGTCTCCACATGGATACTCGTATTTGTCTCTATATTTGTAACTACAAACAAATTGTGTAAATAACATACACATGGACATTTTAAAACATGGTGAAATCTTATTCTTTTTTATATCATATATTAATTCATTTAAAATATATGTGTACACAGTAATGAAGTTTGAACGAGTATGTATGACAGAAATTTAACATGTGTACATATGGACAATAAAACTAGTAAATGCGTATAACAAATTTACCCATGTATATATGTTAGTCATTTGCAAGTGAAAATGTACACATATAACCTTTGTACACATGTGAAATTGTACACATGTACACATATTATCTATGTACACACAATTTTCACTAATGGCAAAATCATAATTAACCCATCTTCTACCTATCTACTTTTTTTAGGATTTCTGTAAAATTTTGACGGCCGTAAACCATGTATCTTCCTAAATCATCTGAATTTGGTGTGTTTTTATATTATTTTGGCAGCAAAATCATAGATTTACTTGCAAATGATCAATTTCCAAACTAAAAAGGATAATTTGATGAATCCATTTTCTTAAATATGCCAAATCACCCGGTGGCTCACAGCTAAACCTTATGTTCTCCCATTATCAGCTTCATCCTTCATGTAGCAGCTTCGCCCTTGCCGAAGTTCCTCCTCCCTCGAGATGTTTTTTGCATCGGTTTCATTCAATTCCATCAAAAACTCAATGAAATCCATTGGGTCCACTCACTAATTTTAAATTTTAAAAATGTAACTAGAAAGCCAAAAACTATTTTCCAGTTTTACCCCACCAATTACATTTTTTCCAGAGCAAGTTAAGACATTTTACTAAAAAACTGTCTAAGTAGTAATAACTGCATTACTGTGACATTAAAACTCATAAACTACCCTGCAATGTGTTGATAAAGAAAAAAAACTGGCCTGCAATGTTATAAACTCTAATAATGAATGCATGAACTTGATCATCAACGGGTTAAGTGTGTCAAATACACTCTTTCTCGCTAGTTTGTAGTAGACAGCACATTCATGATGCATGCCTTAATTGCAAAAACTCATCAACGAAAAACAAACTTTGGATGGGAGAAAATTATTTATCTATACTTTCCATACACATATTAGGTACAAAGGATTTGTTTAGGATCCAAAGTTATATTATAATATGTCTAATAATTTTTATGGAAAGGAAATGATACATTGGGAATTTGGGTAAAAAACTAGGCATGTGCCTAAATTTATTTTGATATGTGGCAACCAGTACAGTTTTTTTTCTTTGAAAAGAGAAATGAAATAAAATTTCTTTTTTTTTTTGAAAAACGGAATCAAATCAAAACATTACATAAATCAAATTTGTTTGGCGTATTTTTAGTTAAAAAAACACAAAGTTACAATTTGAAAATCAAAGTGCATCTCTGAAATGAAATAAATTGTTTTATCTCAAGTTAAAAAAACAATTAAAAAAAAAGAAACTTAAGCCATGTGGCAAAGTAGGATTTGTCTGAGTGATTCATGATTTAGTATATAAACATTGTGATCAAAACCCTAGACTCAGTTTCCGCAACCCGTTATTTTGCTCTTTTGAGTGTCCTGAGATTCATTGTGGCCGAAGGAAGGTACGTGGTTAGGTCAATACGATTCCGAGTGTATTCTTTTTGCAGAGTTAGGGTTTCTCGTTCCATCTTCATCATTCTTTCCTCAATTCATTGACATACCAAACTTGTGAAGTTTAACTTACGGACTTCAGTTAAGATTTTGCTTGATCCGTTTGTTAAATCGGCTACCAAATAAAGCTTTTGTTTCAACCCGTAGCGCAACAGTCTCAGAAATAATGTTGTCACAAAAAAAAAAACAGTTTCAGAAATAATCTGTTGCAATAATAGGAATTAAATATGTTTTTTCATTTGTTTATCAGCAGATGAAGAAAGGTTTGGGAGAAGCTACATCTGTGTACAAAAGTGATGATGATAAGACTTTGAGTGCAAGGCTTAAAGTGAATTTGATTCAGTTTACCAAACAGCAGTTTCCAGTACAAAGTAGCAACGTTCACATGACGTCCTCCTTGACGGTTCAGATAAAGACCAGTGTGGGTGCATCAAGTAGCAAGTCTGTTCATAATAATATCAAACGCAATGGTTTAAAACCTAAGATTGAAGGGCAGAGCTCTCAGGCACTTGAGAAGAGACCTTCTGATAAGAAAAGAAGCTCTTCAAATCCATCTCCAGCTAAGAGGCCTAAGCTTTCAGAGCCTACTAGTCCATTGAATATGGAGCAAGGCTCACGTACTGCTGCTACTCCAGATAGCAATCTGGAGGCATTCAAGCGGTTGACACTTAACCAAGTAATGGTTAAAGAAGATAACTCAGATAGTGATGATCATATCCCTATTGCCTCGAGGATGAGGTCAAATAGAAAACCATCATCCGTGAACAAAGGGGTGATGAAAGATTTTAAATCGTTAGATGGGCAAAAGAAATGGACAACACTCGAGCACAATGGTGTTATGTTTCCACCTCCATATAAATGTCATGGGGTTAAGATCTTGTATCAGGGAAAGCCAGTTTACTTAACTCCTGAACAAGAAGAGGTCCTTTCTCTGTCTTTGTTTTCTCCTGTCTCTCTGTCCCATGATAGATTTTCCTTTGCTTACTTTCTGAAGTAGTTCATGAATGATATTGAGCTCTGATATATTTATCTTCATTTATCTCTGCAGGTTGCCACTATGTTTGCAAAGATGAGAGAAACGGAATATTACAATAAACCATTGTTTAGAGAGAATTTCTGGAATGATTGGGAGGATATACTTGGGAAGAACCATGTGATTAGAAATTTAGATGATTGTGATTTCAGTCCCATATATGAATGGTATATGCAGGACATGGAGATAAGGAAACAAAAGAGTAGAGAAGTAAAATAACCACTTTCTAATATATAAACAATTCATTAGTATGCTATATCCCGAAGCTGTTGTTGATAATATGTTAATGCTATTGATGTGCAGGAGAAAATAATTTTGAAAGTGGAGAGACTGAAGCAGCAAGAAAAATACAACTGGGCTGTTATTGATGGCGTCAAAGAGATGGTAACATTTTCACATTATTGATAGGAATATATCTTTGGCTTTTTTGGAATTTTTCTGACCATAAATTGCAAGTTTCAACTATCACAGGTTGTAAATTTCAGAGTTGGACCTCCAGGCTTGTTTCGTGGCTGGGGAGACCATCCCAACGTATGTTTTTCTGCGTTTGTTCTTACATTATTCTTGAAACTATATGTGTTTGGTAGTGTGCTCTCTAGTCTACATCAATTTCTTGTTAACTTCCATAGCTTCTCTCATTAATAGTAATTATCTGTTTTGCGTTATTACTTTGTAGATGGGGAAACTGAAAAGGCGGATTCGTCCTTGTGATGTTACTATCAACATCGGTAGAGATGCACCTATTCCAGAATGCCCTATCCCTGGTGAAAGGTCATCTTCTATCTTTTGTCTTTCTTGTGGAAGAAGACAGATTTGTTGGTTTTTTTCTGTGACTTGATATTGAGAATGCCAATTCTAATTTTCAGATGGAAAGAAGTTAAGCATGACAATACTGTCACATGGCTTGCTTTCTGGGATGATCCTATCAATCCACAACAGATCATGTGTATATTCTTGCCAGCTAGCAGTTTGTTAAAGGTAATGGAGCTTTTGATGATTCCACTGAAAAGCTTTTGCGTGAACCATCAGGCTTTCCCATATTTGGATCCAGGGCCTTCGCACCAAAGATATTAGTAACAAGGATGCAACAAAACATGAAACAGAGGTTGCTACATATCTTATAGACAAGCTATCCCTTGGCGCTGGAAACGAGAAGGTAATGTAACAAGGACACTTGTTTAATGAAAGAGTGTTATCATCTAAATTGTTTGGTTATATATCCAAAGGTCGCCATCAATTCTGACCCTGATCAACGAACCGTCTCGGAATCTCACGGACCACAAGTTGAGAGGATGGCTGTGAAAATAGAAGAACTAAGGGTAAAATAAATATATAAGCAAATTCTAAGAGCTTTGATCAGAACAGTTTTTGAACTTTTTCGGTCTCATTGTCTTTGTATTTCAATGCAGGAGCAAATAGAAGAGTTGGATATTGATCTCGAAGAGACTGAGAAAGAAACTGTTGCAACTGATGGGGAGTCAGATTTTTTGATAGTTGAGCCGGTCAACGCAACTGACAGTAATGTTCCTGTATTCACTGAGCCGGCTATTAAACATGCTGATAAAATGGCCTCGGAAGTTCCTAAAGAAACCGCTCTCTCACCTGAGGTTGAGCCTATTCTTACACAAACTGCATATAATAAAGAATGATTCTCCAAGATATACCTCCAGCTGTCCTAAATGTACTTGATTCAAATATTTCTTGTCTTTTGGATGTTTCCATGGGTGTGGCAGAAACTGAAGTGTGCATGGAGGAGAATGACTCAATGGACATGGGGAAAGGATTAACTCAATGACCTTTTGAAACAGAAACTTTTCAGTAAGGTGAAGATTCTTGCCCGGGTAGGTACTAGGTAGCAAATGATTATGGTTGGAGACTGGTATCTTGTCTCTTAGTTCCATTTCTCTTAATACTCTCTCTACTATGCAATTTTAGCTTAATTCCGGACTAAACATTCTCTGTCTCCATTTTCTTGTCAAAACTGTATGGTTTTAAGTTTTTAACTCCCTCACTTGTAATTCTTTTAACATACTTTTACCTAAATATTACTTTTGTTTCAAAATATGTTATTTAGTTTAAACTCAAAAGATTAAATCTCCTATATATTAATCCTGGAGCATTGCAACGTTTAAATGTAGCTACGTGTATTCATTAGGATCACTTTTAGAATTCTTAGAAAAATATGTTGGTCTATCTAAATATAAAATATATTTTTATTAAATTAACTATCAAAATCATATGTATTGCATCAAGAATATTCTTCATTCTTTCCTTAAGTAAAAGCTACAAAATTATCTAATATGATTAATATATATATGATAATTAATAATTTTAAATAATAAAAATTTGATAATATTTTTTTATCCTCGATCATTTTTGTTTAATTTATATTATTAAAAAAAATAAACAATCACATTAACCATATATTTATTTATTTTTTCTTATATGTTATATTTAAAAAAAATTTAAACAGCTATAAATTACTAAAACTATTAAAAGTCTTACTATAAAAATTTTGTGAAGAATTGTTTTATTTTTTCTTATAAAAATCTCTTATATATTAATATTATAATATTACAACATGTTTTCGTCGCCACGTGTCTTCATCGAGATAATTTTCAAAATTTTTATAAAAATAAATTGGTCCATATATTATGAAAGCAAACCCAAAATATGTGATTCCGTAGGCCCAAAATATGTGAATACATATATATATTATACTTTTCAGACCCATCTAAATAGTTTGTCAATTTTTAGGTTTAAAAAATATTTTTGGGGACGATTCAGATTTTGGTTACAATCCAATCAAAATCAAATCCGGAAGGAACCGAATTGAAACCGATCCGATAGTTAGTGGAATCTGAATGGGTCTGAAAAGTATAATACCAAAAGTTTAAAAATACGAATCACTCGAACCAAAACTGTCGGATCTCCGAATGCCCAAGCATATGATATATTTAAAAGACAAATATTTGTATTCATTACTTTACAATTGACAAAGATTATAGTGTTACAAAATATTAAAATCGAACAAACATTAATATACAAAATTTATCTCCGGGTATCTCCTAGTAATTTATTAATCTTTGAGAACCACAAGTTCTTTTATAAATTAAATATATTTTAACTAAAAAAAATGCGAACTGTAATTGATTATACACACTATCCAATAAAAGCAAAAAAAATGTTCAGAGATAAAAACAACTTATGTCTTTGAAAATATATATATGCAATAATTATTTAGAAAAAATTAAAAAAAATGTTGAAATTGGGAAAGTTCAGATTTTCGTTAGAAAATAGAAGATAAATTTTAATCAAAAGAAACAAAAACATGTAAGAAGGTTTTATTCTCTCTTGATAGTATAGTGGAAAGACTTAGCATTAGGATGTTTTAAAGAAAAATAGGGGTTGATCGGTAGATAACGTAGAAACTGTGGACAACCAGTGGCGGAGGCACATGGAGTAAGAGGGGGGCATCTGACCCCAACTCATTTTGAAAATTCTGTGTAAAACATTGACTAATACTACATATGCCCCCATGATTTTAACAAAACTATCTTTAGTTTTATGAACAGATTTAATCATGCCCCCTACAAAACAAAACTCTACCTCCGCCACTGTGGACAACCACTTTTATTCTACAGTTTTTTTTTTTAAGAATGCTAAAGCAAGAAAAACTAAAACCAAAGTTAAAAATCTAAAACCTAATTCTTAGAACAAAAAAAAAAAAAAAAGTCACGGCTCGAACCAATCTACCCCATGTTACATTTTTATATTCAATAAAGTAATTATGGTGTATAATACAGAACATAATAACATGTTTACAGAATAATCGCGTGTGTGTGATAGGGTAGTATGGCGGGTTTGGAAATGTTCCAAACATCTTAGATTCTAAAATTATCACTTAAATTACCCATCTGTGTAATCAAGCGGTGTGAATATCTAACTTTCATACAAAACAATCGGGTTTGCTTCAAAAATTAGTTGGACTTCCAGTTCAGATAACCTCAAGATATCAAGGAAATTAAACAAAAAAAATATGTATGTACAGAATAATTTTTAATTCTATTTGTTAGTTAAATAACTTGAAGAAGTAAGTTGTAAAATTCTATTTATTAATTAAATTAACTTGAAGAAGTAAATCTTGTATTATCTTGTTCCAGATTATTTATTGGCAAGTTACTTTACATGATAACACCTATATATATATATATATAGATATATATAAAGAGGTTTCACTTTCTCCTTAAAACATCTCTCTCATTATCTACTCTATTAAAATAGAATCCTTCTTTTTATATATTAATATAAGTTGTCATTTAAATTTGGATCTTTTCTAAAGTGTTACAAATAATACAAGCCATATAGTTAACTGAACCGCATTACTTAAATTGAACCGGTAGTTATTTATGGAATATAGTTTTGGACTTACTTTAGTTTTTATGATAAATTATATGGTTTGATTTTTGGGCTTAGTATTAAGGAAAAACTCCAAAAAAGATTAAATAAACTTTCCACCCTAATGGATCAAAAAATCAATTTTATTTTCAGGCCCTAATACCAGATGAGATCAAACAGGCTATAAAAGGTGTTTTGAGTATAGAGAATGAAGGTGGTGAAAGGTCATATCTTGGACTTCCTGAGTGTTTTCAAGGTTCAAAAAAAGATCTCTTAAATTTCATCAAAGAAAAGTTAGAAGGAAGGTTACAATGGTGGTACTCTAAAACTTTGTCGATGGGGGCCAAGGAAGTTTTAATAAAATCAGTTGCTTTAGCTCTCCCCATATATGCAATGTCGGTGTTTCGGTTACCAAAAGGTCTTTGTGAACGAATTACAAGTGCGATTACAGAATTTTGGTAGAGTGGTGGGGACAAAAAAAGAAAGATCCCATGAGTTTCTTGGGAAAAGTTGTGCAACCCCAAAGAACAGGGGGTCTTGGGTTTCATGACATTGGTCGTTTTAATCAGGCTTTACTCGGGAAATAAGCTTGGCGAATTTGAAATAATTCTGCTTCTTTGGTTTCTCGGATTCTTAAAGGCAAATACTTCAAACATGGAAATTTCATGGACTGTGGAATGGGGACACGTCCATCATATGCATGGAGGAGTATCATGCATGGAAGAGAATTTCTCAAAAAAGGCTTGTATCGACATATTGGCAATGGGAAGGATACTAATGTTTGGGCTAAAAACTGGATTATTGACACCGTTCCTCGGTCTGCAATGTACCGTAAGAATAGTTCCATAAACTTAGCGTTAAAAGCTTCAGACTTACTCCAGAAAGGATCGAATCAATGGGATATTAATTTGTTAAATCAGACTTTTACGCCACAGGATGTTCAAAGGATATTACTTCTGAAACCGTCACTGACACTCGAAGATTCGATTAGATGGGGTTTCACACCAAATGGATCATACTCGACTCGGAGTGGATATAAGTTGTTGGAGGCTTTGGTGGAGTTTGATCACCCTCAAGGACACACTCTCACTCCTATTGAAAAACATTTATGGAGAGACTTGTGGAAGACAAAAGCTCCACCAAAAATGAAACATTTTGTGGCGTGTTCTATCTGGTGCGTTAGCTGTTAAACAACGTTTGACTACTCGAGGTATTCCGATTGACCCAACATACTCTGTTTGTGGTAATGGTGATGAGAGTATATGTCATGTCCTTTTTACATGTGGAAAAGCACGTGCCATATGGGACCATTCTAACTTTCCATTACCCTTAGGAGGCTTCTCGCGGAATTCCACCTTTCTAAATTTTGTACACCTGATCAAGATTGGTAAAAGTTCCTCTGCGGGTATACATACAAGAAAAGTTTTTCCATGGTTGTTGTGGAAAATTTGGAAAGCTAAAAATGCTTTTGTTTTTGAAGCCAAGACTACTCCATCTTCATTTATTGCTAAAAACCTATGAAGAAGAGTCAACATGGTTTGACACATTCTCAGGATCGAAAGATGGAGTGGGTGATGTCGGAGCGGAAATGGTTTGATGGAAAAAACCTCCCAATGGTTTCCTCAAATGTAATGTTGGCTCCTCATGGGTAAATTGGAATCACCTGAGTGGTGTTTCCTGGATCTTACGTGATGAAAATGGATGTACAATCATGCATAGCCGGCGAACCTACTCATGTATGCGCACAAAAACAGAGGCTGACATATGGGCTCTTTTCTGGGCGGTTGAGTGTATGCATAATTTACACTTCTCAAATATCATTTTTGAGACTTCCTCAGAGAGCCTACATGACGTTTTCACAAAGACTGGCGAACACCATAGCCTCAGCCTTATTCGCCATAGTATTTGCTTTCTTCTGCTAAGGATAGATCTATGGATTGGCTCACTTTCTTCCAGAACGTAATGAAGCAGCAACGGCAATTGCGTTAAGCGTCACTCGTGATCGGCGTCATCAGTCATACATCTCCCGCAATGCTTTGGTGTGGTTACAACACTTACTCGCCATGGAGACTCAGCAATAAAGGGGTTTGGTGTAGTCCATATCACTTTTGTTTGTTGTCTACTGACATCTCATCTTATCTCTTTTGTATTTCCTTCCTGTATCATCTCGAATTCTACCAAAGTGTTATTAAAAAAAAAAAATTCAGGCCCAAAGATATTTAATATTTTTAACAAAACATATTCTCTATTATTAATCATTTCTTTAAATCATGCACTTTAAAACATGTTAATGTATTTTTTATTTTAAATAACAATCACTTTATTTTGATAAATTTCAAGATAACTTTTATATAAGTTAATGTTTTATTTTTCATAGATAATTTACTGATTAAAAAAAAATGTAACACAAAATCAAATCTAAAAACTAAATTCCAAAACCAAAAAACTGAAAACGCATGTTATATTTTTGGCTTTTGTTTATTTAAAAAATAAACTATTGTAATTTTTTTTAAAAAAAATTTGTGTCATCTTTTCAGTTTTAATTAGATGTTCTATTATTTGTGATTTGTTTGTTGGTAATATCAGTTTGAACTAACTCAGCGGATCTAAAAATTAGAAACTCAAACCAAAAGCTGAAAATCAAAAATAGAAACTTAAAAACTAAAAACCAAAAACCAAAAACCAAAATCTGAAACCAAATCTAAAAATATAAACTGAAACCTATGAAAAAACAATCACCACCACAAATTTTGGTGAACTGATTTTATACCAAAACATTCTTTAAATTAAGACAAACCCCAATTATATAAACTTTTAATCATAAAAAAATTTCGTGCTTGAAAAGCGCGGATCAAATCTAGTTAGATATCTTATAAATTTGACATATTCTCATTGTCTCTATGAAATTAAGAAATTATCTTTAAATTTTTATTTTCTTCTAATCAATATTTCATTTTCATTTTATGACATCAAATTTTTTTCAACAAATGATAATTTAGTGAATTTACATAATATAATCCAAAATACTTGAAAATAATAAAGAGGAGATTTCTAAGAAAACATCTAGAAGTCGTCATATGCATATATAAACATTAGGTAAAAATGCTTGAAACAGTTATAAAAATCTAAATGAAAGATTTTGGAGATCTTTTTTTATCCTATCGATTGATTTCATTTATTTTATGGTTGGAATTTTGTTATTGATATTTCAAAAAGTTACGAAAGATATAATTGAGCGTTACTCGCCAGTAACTTCTCAAGGATAACAAAAATCTCTACTTTCTCTACTCCTAGAGATTTACATTCTTTGTTCTCCAGTAAATAATGTTTCTCTGTTGCTGAATCTCCGTTTGGTCTTAGTTTAAGAAACATATGTAATTATAGCAACTCCTCGGTTTTAGTGAATTGTCGTCGTTAGTTAGGATTTTGTCCACATCTTTTCAGAAACAATGACAGAATCTAAGGATTTGATTCGATGCGAGTCTGATATTAGCGCCCAAGTTACGCCTACTATTGCAATCGACTCACAAGAGTATGTTCTTCTTCTTGGTCTTCTTTCTTCCAGTTTGTATTTATGAACAACTATATATATGTGTGTGTGTACTGTGTTCAATTAACGAAGTTGTGTTTCGATGATTGATGTTTCATGTCTGGTTAAAGATGCAGAAGAATTAGTGGTCCTACGAGGAGATCAACTAAAGGAGGATGGACCCCAGAGCAGGTAGCTCAACTGTTTCATGTAGAACTGAGAAGTCTTTGTGTGATTGGTGAAATCTTTTTTGTTTTTGTTTTTGTTTTTGTCAAGGACAAACTCTTGATGAATGGTGTGCAGAGGTACAAAGGAAAGAATTGGAAAAAGATTGGTAATAGATATATTCATTTAATTGGTTTTGTCATATCAAAGTAATGTTACAAAAGAAACTCTTGTATATCTTACCAACATAGTTTGTTTCTCTCTTGCCTTTGGTTAATTAGCTGAGTGTGTTCCTGGGAGAAAAGACAAGAGGAAGACTGATGTCCAGTGTCAACACCGTTGGCTAAAAGTTCTTAATCCTAACCTCAACAAAGGACCTTGGAGAAAAGAGGTAATTCTTGATATATTCATTTTATTCTTAAACTTTTTGTTTGTTGGCTGTTTGTTGGCTGTTTGATTGCCCATGATGATATAAATTTTTCTTGTTATTTTAGGAAGATGATCTCTTGAGTGAATTGGCTAATGTCTTTATTGAGAATGATAAGCCTAAATGGTCCAAAATCTCCAAACAACTCCCTGGTCGCATTGGCAAGCAATGTCGTGAAAGGTTTGTTTTCTTTTTGCTTTTCATGTTCAACTCCCACGTTTTTTCCCATAAAATTAAAGCTGATTATTTTGCGTGTTATATAGATGGCATAATCATCTAAATCCGACTATCAAAAAAACTCCGTGGACTAGAGAAGAGGAACTGATTCTCATTCAGGCACAGAGGGATCAAGGCAATAAGTGGGCCGAGATTGCCAAGCTCTTGCCTGGAAGGTTTGTCCATAGAACTCAGATATATGATCATCGTTATCTGATTTTGATAAACAGTTGTATGGATCTTGATAATTAATTCGCTTTTTTTTTCTAAAATATTGATCATGCATGAAAACTAACAGGACGGAAAATAATATCAAGAACCACTGGAATTGCTCACTTAAGAGGAGAGGGGAACACCTTGTTAGTAGCACCTTGTCTGGTTGTGGTTCAACGTCAAGCTCTGTCAATCAAAGCAATATGATGCCTGTAAGATCCAAACCATTTCAAATAAAGGAATCTGGCAAGAGTCCTCAAAGGGACTCACTGGAATTAACTCTAGGGCCCCCCATGAACTGGAGGAACACGTCTTCATCCACAAACTCTGTTAAAGTGGATGAAGAATCAATAATCTCATCATCAGTAGAATCTGATTGGTTAAGACACAATAGCAAGGTTGAAATATCTCAGTGGACACCTTCAGATGATCATCACCACAAGACAACTCCACAATTAACAACTCCGCCTTGTGTAAAATTAGTTCCAGTGAGTCCGGAAACTCCACAGAGCAGCAGCGATGGAAAAGAAGTGAGGGAGATCATAGGGAGATGGAAAATGGCTGCGAGTACTTTCGAGAACACACCTTCCATAATCTCCAGAAGAAGATCATCATCCTCATGGCGTAAACAAGAAAACGAATCATCATTTCAAACAGGTGCTCGAACTTACCAGTCAAGTGAGGAAGAACATTCAGTTTCAAATTCTTCTTCTACTTTCAGCTCCTTACTCATGAAACACAGCAACACTTGTTCAGGTTCAAAACCCTTAGAGAGGCGCTTGGAGTTTGATTTTATTTGACAAGTGACCATACCCTTTTTTATAAGGTTTTATACTTGGAATCATCAAGTTTATGAACTCAGCAGTTAGTTTTATTTTCTTGGGGAGCAATTTTCCTTCGTGTACATATTTGATGTCTAGTCTAGTTTTCTGATCAGGATCTGACGTTTAGTTTCCTTTATATCCGTTTCATATTTTTGTGAAGAAAATGTTTTTTTTTTCCACACTAGTAAAAGAAAAATAATAAAATGAAAAATTATTGCATATATATATCATAACTAGGTGTTGTGCCCGCATATGCGAACATAATTTTCTTACCAATATTTATTATTTTTTGTTTTATTAATTCTAAAATAATATTATAAATTATTTTTTAGAGTTTTAAAAAACCTAAATCAAACATTAAAATATTTTATATGAATTTTCATCAAAATCTATATGTTTATTATAGTGTTGAAAATATCCACATAATAAAATATTTTTGAAAATATATTTACATTTTTTCTTAATATTTAATTTTAAATTGTTTTATAACTTACATTTTTCATAATAAAAAGATTATTTCCAGATAACTGTGTAGTATTCTATAAGATATTTTATGTTTTAAATATGCATGAATATGGATAATTATCCTATTAGTTTATAATAAATTAACTAATATAATAAAATATAAATTTTTATCACTAACATAAAATTCATTTTTAACTAATTTATATAGAAATATATAAATTTCATTAAAAGTATCATTAACTTAAACCGTTCTAATTTTTAATATCTAATATTTAATTATATAATTAAAAGTATCTTTATACAAATGTTTTTGTTTGATTAATATTTAATTAAAATCGTTTTTTATATTTTAATTTTTCAATTTTATAATAGAATGATATTATTTTCAAAAAACAAAATCAATTATATATAAAATTAAGATGTATAAGCATTATCATGTTGTTACAATATCATATTCAGATAATAATAACATATATAAGAATTATCTTATTTTTGATATGTTAATAAATTTATTATATTAATTCTTCTCAGTTATCTAAGATAATAACATACTAATCTAATTTTATTTGTTAAATTTCGTTTTTAATTATAAAATTAATTATATATAAAAATTTCATTAAGGGTAAAATAGATATTAACCGCTCTAACTTTTAATATCTATACTATCCTTGGTGATAAAAAAAAATCGGATAATAATAATATCACGAAAATATTTATAAGAATAGATCTAAGCTTATTGCCTTTCTTGATAACGAAATTTCTCATCACTTTCCTAAACCCTAATCCTAAGCTAACTGAAAAAAAAGAAAGAAAGGAAAAACCTTATCTATCTATATAAATACAAACAAGTCCATTCCTTCCTGCCTGTGTAACAAAAAGAAAAAAGAAAAACAAGATTCCAAGCAATAGATGTCTCGTGAAAGCCTTCTCTCTTCTGAAAAACCAATGCCTAGTGAAAGACTCGTCTCTCTAGGGCAAAAGGGTAACATGACGACTCATAAACTCGAAATCACGGCCGTATCAGCAGAGGGTCTCCTCGACGGTAGAAATCCGGTGTGGAAAAACGCGTTCGTTGACTTTGATATCGCCGGGGATTATTGCAACCGGGCGATGAGAACGGAGGTCTGTGGGGATTATCCGGTGTGGAAAGAGAAGCTGGAGACAGAGTTTTCGTTACCATCGGAGAAGAAAGAGGGTTTCATGTACGTTAGGGTTTGTTGCGAGATCTTAGGCGGGAAGGATAAGCACGTGGGAACGGCACGTGTGCCGATAAAGGATTTTACGGGGGAATATGCGCCGGAGGGTTTCTTGCAATGTCTGAGTTACAGATTGTGGGACGAGTACGGCAAAAGGAACGGTATTGTCAATTTCTCGGCGAGGATTGTTCCGGTTAATAAGCCGGCCGGTTTACGTCCCTTTTGGTTAAGGTAGATTTTCTTTGGTTTTTAATGGTTTCATCTGGTTTGTTATTTCGGTAGTTATTACATATATTCGATCGGTCTAATGTAACAATTTGAACTAATGAAATCGATACTGCGTATTATATTTTTGTTGTTACATAATTTAACTGATAAACCATACATATGGTAAAGTGATTAACTATAAAAGAAAGTTAAGTAACAATACTTTAGATATATGCATTTTTTTGTTATAAAAATATACTTTTTTTTTTTGTAAAAGATTTTTTATTTTATAAAAATATACTTCCATTGTTTCTAATGAATCAAAGTAGAAAGTAGAGATGTTAAAGTGTACCATGACGCACATATGTATACAAACCACAACTCATGGTGTGTTGATCCGCATATATATCAAAAGAAAATCGAATCTACAGCGAGTTATTTGGTTAATCCGTTTGACATTTTTAAAACTAAGATATGAACATAAAACATATGAGTAACATAAAAGCATTATGTTTTTAAAAATTTTAGAATCTAATTTTAAGAGCAAAAAAAAAATGAAGTGAATTTTCTAAATAACTATCACATCGCATTAACCTTCATTTACTTTGTATCAGCTACGGAGCCATCCATAAGATAATGAACATTGTTTTTAATATGCCTATAAATGATTTTTGATGTTTGTTTTTCAACCCACTGTTTATCAGTTATTCTCAAGTATCAAAAACAAAGATATCATAAGTAAATAATTTAAATGATAACTATATTTGTCCATGTTCACTCGTTTTTCTATAATTCTTTTATTGTTTCTTTTTTGCAAACTAAATGCTTTCAGTTTCATACATTTCATTTGAACAAGGAAAATTCCATGATTAAATATATTTTTTTAAAATCACAGTGATTCTAAACAGATATTAATCATATTATCATGAAACGATACAATATATTTTGACCTGTAGTTAGCCCGTAAAAACGTTTATGGTTATCCTTATGCAATCTAAGAAAGATTTGTGTTGTATATTAGTTGATTGTAACTGTAACTTTATTGTTGTAGATTTTCTTCTGGAAACTTTTGATGTAGTTAAATTGGTTGTAGTTTGTAAGTTTTTAACAAGTTGTCGAATAACATCTCTTTATTTGATCACAGTTGAATATGATTTAATGTATAAACGTTATGAGCGTTTTTTTTACCACAAAAACGTGTTTATATGAATTAAGCTCCAAATGAATTTAAACCGTCAAAAATTTTGTTGACCAAAATACAAGACAATATACATTCAATACCCTTTCTCCAGGGGAAACAATCATTCAAGCATTAGAATGTAACAGCTGCACAAGCTGTCTTGTATGTATGTGGTGCGTCTATCACTCAGAGCTTGGCGTCCAAGATGGGCTTACTAGTTGCAGTTTCTTTGAGCAAAGCTTCTTGCCTCAACGATACCACCAGCTGCACAAAAGTGAGAGATCCATTGTTGTATTCAGAACTAACTCTTTTAAGATTTGATAATTAAAAGAGGAGCATGAGAGAACTACACTAGCTTCTTCAACTGGACTTTTAGTATGTCTACTTAAAAGGGGGTAAAAAGGATACCTCTCCCTTTCTGTTGAACATTTCTCCAGTTGCTAAACCACGACTCTGGGACGCTGTTAGATTCACCATCTGCATAAGCGCTAATTTGTTATGTATACTTAATTTTTAACATGTAACTCTAAACACAAACCACATCAATTCATAAGTAACAGAGATATAAACCAAACGAATATGCCAGCCAAACAACGACTTGTTCTAGTGTAGAGGTTCATGTTCCCACGGTTTTGATACACTGCAATGGCATCTTCATATTGAGTATACATACGAGAGTTTATGGCTTTTAATAACAACTCAAATCTGTGCTAAGTGTACTGTACTTTAGGCAATTTGATTTTCAGAAAATAAGCGGGTTTCGTATCCTTCAGAAAAAAAAAAAGAAGATGAAAATTTCTAACCTCAAAGAGCAGCCAGTCATCAGCTCTTAGAGGTCGGTGGAACCACATCCTGCAAAGGTAATTAACAAGAGTAAGAAACTTTCTCTTAATATTGTTTTATATATACATGGTTTGCATAGAATAGACATGACTTGGCTCAAAGAAACGAAAAGGCTTACGAATGGTCAAGGCTAACAGGAACTGCACTCATGCCCTTTTTAAGGTGAGGGTCTGAACTTATAAAGGCGTACATCAAATCTGAAGCAAATGCAACAACGCATCTGTGTATGCACAATATAGTCACTTTCCCAAGTTATAAAACACTGCAGTCAAATTATATAGCAAAGGTTGCTCACCGGTGCAAAGCCTGGTCGTCAGAAAGTTCTCCCCTTGCCCTAAACCAATATTTCAATCTGCACATAAACCTTTTAGAAACAGTTAAGAGTGACCCAATATAATTAGTTTATCAGGATTTAGACATGTTGACCTTGAAGGAGTCTTTGTCTGTTCTGTAGAATAATTTGTCTCACAAAATCGAATATCTATAGGCAATGGGGCAGTATATTGGGTTGCAACTTTTTTTCGGTAATACCTGAAATGAAAAAAAAAACTGATTCACTCTAAGGTCTTGGGAAGAATTTTTCTGGCACAAAACTTCCACAAACCTAGGTAGTAGATGGTCAGTCATACGCCGTTGAAGCATTTCATCCCTTGATACAAGCTGCAGTAGATAGAAACGGCAATGACAATGACAATCATCACCATCCGTTATAAGCAAGGAGAAATGTTTACCGTTTCAGGAGGTAGCATATGAGGCATGTTAGACTCCTGGTGATCAAAACCTTGTTGCTCTCTCTGTAATAACCAGAGCAAAGAAGAAGAAGTTACAAGGTGTTTTCTTTGTTGTTACAAAGCTAGTCTCTCTTGATGACATATAGTAAAGACTCTTATGCGTACAGATCCATAATGAAATATTTCAGGATCACAAACATGAAACCTGAAATGATGCAAACAAGGTGAATATGGTTTTTCCTTTCTGTCTTGCATCTACTCTTCGGGTGGAAAAGTTGTTGCCATCACGTAAGCGGCTAACTTCATATATGATGGGAACTGCAAGAGTTACAGAACTAAAAGAGTTACAAGAGAACTTTCATAGAAAAAAGCAGATTTGAGATTAGAGTCCTTACTATTTATATCACCAGAAAGAAGGAAATAGGCATGTAAACTATGGACTATCTTCGAAAATTCAACAGTTTTTGTGGCTGCGGCAAGTCCCTGTAGATAAGAAAATGCTATATATATGAAAGCAAATGAACCAGAATCAATACATAGGTGAAAACTACATACCTGTCCCAAAAATTGCCCTCCGAAAACCTTTGCAAGGGCTGGAGCATTGGGTAGAGTGAACCCCCTGAACACATTCAACTAAATAAAGAAGCGTAAATATGTAGTAGAAAAGTGAGAGAGAAGGGTAAATATTAAGGTGAAAGTTAGAGTTGGTACATCTAATGGATCCATATACAAAATGCGTTCCAGGAGAGAGCGTTCGTTATCTGAATCCCAAGTCGGCTTTGTCTCAAGCAAATGACAATGATCAGAAGTCAAGAGTAGGCAGGTAAGCTGCAAAGAATAGGCACACAAGAAAGTGGTAGTATTGACCCCATTAGCATACCAAAAGCAGCAGTATTGTGTATATATGTATAAAGAAGAGATTTAAAAAAAAAACCTCTGAGACGGCAACAACATCTACTGCATAAACATTCCCAAAAATGCCTGTGTAGAATTGGAAAAGAGCTGTAAAGTAAATCATGGATGCTACAACCTACAAATGGCCAGTAAATGAAAGAATCATTATCCTCGTCCTTCTCCTCTCACCACGGCCGAAGAAATCAAATGGTTTCAAGAGGAACTCCGAACAGTTCTCTTCTCCGTGAACCTGAGCCTGAAAACCAAAAAAAAACAAACATAAACAAGTTGCAATTTGTATTATAATTCACTAATATAAGAAGACACAACACAAGTAAAACAATCAAACCTGTCCTTCCATGACAAAATAGACTCCCTCCATCTCCTCATCATCTCTACGAACTACATAGTCCCCTCTCTCTTCCAAAACACACACACATCTCAAAATCAACATTTATGATTGAAAACAAAAATACAAGACATGAGACTGACCGTAACGCTTGAACACAATGACTTGTGCGATTTTCTTAAAAGAACAAGTAGTTAACCGATGCAACAAGGGTACCTTCCCAAGGAACTCCACAACTGTAAGAAAACCATTATCAAATAAATTCTCAGTCCAACTTGCGGCGATGGAAGAAGAAGAAGAAGATCAGTGAGATATATTACCTGCTGATTCAGTGTTCATCGAGACGTTGAAAGTCAAAATCAATCGTCTGTCGGACCTGTGGATTAAGGAAGGAGGTAATTATCGTGTACCCCTGGGTGTATTGTAAATTAGAGTGGATAAACGTGTTAATCATTTCCCACGAGCGTTGACTCATAGAGTTATTTTTAAACGACAAAACTTTCAAAAGATAAACGCTTCTGCACGAGATCTAGGGTTCGAATTCCATGATATGCAATTTCCACACCAAGAAATTTTCAATTCCCGAAAAAGATAAATAACAAATTATAGAGATTATTGAAAAAAAATACAAAAAACTTCACCAGCGCAAGGAATACCGTCATAAATGAATCTTATAAGACGGTTTAGGGTGATGTAGTCAGATATGAATCTACATAAAACAAATATAATTATCGGCTGTAATATCGTCTATGTAATGCATGAACGTAAAATTTGTTATTAAAAGTAAAATTATCCTAAACTTTAAATTGATGTTTATAATAACTTTATTGAAGACTTGGCAAAAAAAGAGTTTTAACAAGCAAAAATAAAGTTTTGTCCACAATCTTTTTTACAATAGGTGCTATATGTTAAAAATAGAGTTAATTAGATTAAAAACAAAAGAAGATGATGATAATTAGGTAAATACCAAATACAATAAGTTATGGACACAGAAATGAGAAAATAGTGTAAGAAAGTAAAAAATAACTGTTTCATTTGGTTATTCAGACTTGGGGTCCAATTGGGACTTGAAAATTGTGACCGTAAACATTTTGGTTTTAAAAGATGTGATTGTTACTTTAAAAAAAAAGTTAAAAGTTTGATTAGCATCATAAACTTTAGAAGCTGTGACTGTTGTAAATATATATTTATGATTTATTTTCAAAATGTACAACTTATTTTGTTGAAAATATATATTTATGATTCATTTTCAAAATGTACAGCTTATTTATTTTATTCTATTTTTTATTAATACCAGTCCATAAAATATGATGGGTAGTTTAAAACAAGAAATCAAAACTATCAATAATATATTTATTTCTTTATTGTAAAAAGTTTAAAATTATAGCCAAAAAAATTATTTATTGAATTTTAAATAAGATTACAATTCATTAAATATAACAAAAATATTATTAAACATTTAATGAATTCTAACCCATATAATGTTTGCAATCTCATCTCGAACACTTTTCATATATTGTTTTGAACTGGGAATTCGTTATATCGTATTTGGAAGTTCTTCTTGTTGGTTTTGTGTGTTTGCAATATTTTTTAGTGTTGAACAAATAAATATCTAATAATAGTAGGTTATGAATTTTCTTGATGTTAAAAACTAAATTAATTACTAAAAATTAATTTGTCAGTTATTATACCACTTTTTTTTTTTGAATGAACAAAAGACAAAAAAAGTTCATCCATGTTTTTTTTTTTAAATGAAGAAAGATAATGTTTTAAGTCTAAAAAAGTGGCTATTGAGAAATATGAACAAAAAACAGTTTTTTTAAAAAGTGGACTTTGAAGATTTTACAATTTTCTAAAGCTTAAAATAAGCGATTGGCAAATTTTTGAATTTTATGACTTTAGATAACCACAAAACCTCTAATGCTCATACGCCAATCACACCCTTGGAGATAGTAGGCTTCTAGGTTTATTAGGTGGTAGTAGAGATATTTACAAATTTAGATAGATTGTGTGGTGCAAACACCGTGGTCTAGTGGTTAAGGTTTAAAGACTCCTACACTCAGGTCTGGGATTTGAATCCCAACAATGCAACTTCTAAATTTAAATTCTTGTAAAAGTGATTTATGCAGAAATTTGGAGGAAAATCTTAGAGATCTTAAGCATGGCGCATAGAGTATCGTTAGGAATGGATCTCATAGGACTGTTTAGGATGATGCAGTCAGACATGAAGCCTCATAAGACAAGTATAATTGTCGGCTGTAAATCATCTTTGTAATGTTTCTCATAGTTTGTAATAACATAATTAAACCAGACAAAAAATATAGATTGTGTGAAGATTTAATTTAGATTTTATAAAATTGCATCGATAAAAGATCATGTACAGTGTCGCACCTAGTTCATCTTTATCCACAAGATCTCTGACAAAAGATACATATCTAAAAACAATCAAACAAAATATTCCCCCCCCGGCACATAGAAATCATTTTTTTAACACTGGATAATTATGCATTACAAACTATGAGAAATTACATAGACGATATTACAGCCGACAATTTTACCTGCCTTATGCGGATTTACGTCTGACTGCATCACCCTGAGCCGCCCTGTGAGATCCATTCCTGACGGTACGCCTTGCGCCATGCTGAAGATCTCTTGTAAGCTTTTTCTCCAATCTGCATAATTCGCCATTCACCTTCTCCGGGAATTGAAACCCTCATAGTGTAGAAACTGCGTAGCCTGGGATTCGAACCCCAGACCTGGTGTAGAAACCTTTAAACCTTAACCACTAGGTTACGGTGCTTCCACAAACATTATGTAGAAATCATTATGTAGCAAATATATTGTATATCTTTATAAGTTGTGGGCATCTATAAACTTACCGAAAGGCAAAAACCGAATCATCTCAACTTCGTTGGTGTCGAGTGTGTTGAGAATTTGTCTGATCCCGCAAGATTTGTGGTGTGCTATTACCCTCACGCCTATTGGTTCTTCTTCGGCGGCAAATAATCTATCCGGCAAAGGGCATGGTGGTAATTGTGATTCCTCTTTCTCCATTTTTTACGGCACTTGCTTGTGATTTATTAGAGTTTCTTTCCTTTGTAATAGGGATTACCTCTACGATAACATAAATTTATGAGAGAGTGTAGCAGATGCAAGAGAAAATGGAAAGATAAATATGATCTATGTGATTTTCTTAAATTTTTGAATTTCAAATTCAATCTAAAGATCATCAGACAGCATAAGTTATGAATAAATATTGTAATAGTAAATAAGATTTTATTGAATCTACATATAAGATATGGCATATCTTTGGTGCAGGATGTAATGTCTCACATATAGTGGTATTACTGTTGTTGGGCCCAATTTCAGCACCAAATTAAGTAGTCCCAAGCTCATGTAAGATCGCCACGAGCTTGACATCGATCGGACCCAACGAGGTCGAAATGGTATCCCGAAGATCGTGGAAGCAGTTAGAAAAGGAGAAGACTATAAAAGAGAGCTAAAGCAGAGTACAAAGGAGACGGAAAAACTCTAGAGCACATCACTAATCAAATCGAACTCACTCCATAGATTTCTAGTTTGCTTATAAACTTTACTTTTCATTGTTGTTTTCGATCTTATTTACCACCTTGTAACGAGTTACATATTCAATAAAAACCATTTTTGTCAACCAAATTATGATTGTGTCGTTGTGTTTAAGAGCATCGTTATCCACATCATTTGTCTTCCCTTGATTAACCTCTCGATCACTACAAAATATTTAGTGTGGATTTTAGGATCAACAACTGTCTTGAAAATTGTTTATGGTTACCGAAAACATTGACTTAGTCAAACTTGTTGGCAGGAGTCCTAAATTTTCTAAAAAAATTAACATATACACCCAAAATAATATACCAAATCAATTATTTCGTTCTCTTACTGTTGATTCTTTTCATATGTGTTATCAAATTCCTTAGTATTGATTATGTTTACAGACTCAAATGTCACATTTAGTGGTTTTGTATTTCATTTTGGTTTTACACATTACAAGCTAACTTATAAAGGGGCTGGTTGGTTAATCTTACAAGTTAAGCTCGTTCTTAATTATGTGAATTGTTGATTCTTTCTGTCAAATTTCTTTTTTTTGGCATATGGTTATGATTATTTATTTTTTTGTTGACAACAATAAACTAAGCTAAGAATTTGTTCCGACCGGTTTGGAAAACCAAACATGAGAAGATGAATCAACATAAAACATAGTTGAATGACAACTCATCACACTGCGTGTAACCTTGTCTGTTGTAAAATTGTGTGCCCTTGGAATGTTTGATCACAAAAGTAGGAAATACAGTTTTACTTTGTCAAAATTTCTCCATATGAGTAGTAAAAGCTGGTCACTCTTCAGGCGTCGACACCATCTTCATCAGATGAGAATAATCTGTTGCAAAAACTATGTTTGAGAACTACATGATCGTCATGCACGACATAACCCAAATCAAAGATTAATATTCGACATGTAAAGGTTATAGACTTCTTCGGAGATTCATCGCTCCCATCATCTTCTCATTGGATCATATGGTTTTACAGAACCAACTCTGACCGGTCCACTTATCATGCTCCCTCCATACACCATTGACATAACATATTCTAGTATGCCCTAGGGTTTGTAAATCGAGCCCTGGCTGAATCGTCTGAGGATGGTGGTTAAGCATCACTTGCACCTCAGACCACACTGTCCTTTCTAATTCAGCGATACGTAGACCTGCAAGTTCTCATTCTTATTCTTATAGATTTTATCATTTTTGTTCTCCAAATATACCAATAAATCCAGGGAAAATAACTACAGTTATAGTCTCTCAGGAGTCTCCAAAAGAGATAGTCCATACTAATATGACTGAAGATGACAGAAAAATTCATAGGTGTGAAAAAATCCTTAACAGAGCCCAAACCTGCAAAGCTGGTGGACATTCGAAGAAAACATGATTGATAGTTTTCTCCTCTGCACCACAAATACTACACTGTAGATCACTTTCCATCCCTCGTGCCTTCAAATTCTTCGAAAACGGGAGAATATCAGATAAAATTTGCTAGATGAAATGTCTCAACTTTAGAATACCGCAATTTCCACGTAAAGGCCAGTAAATGTTTCGTGTCCGGACCATAAAAAACCATCTTTGTACCATTATCTGGATATAGTGTTTTAGTCTTATATCTTGATTTAACCGAATATTTACTTGATTCTATAAAGTTCACCCATACAAATCTGATCGGTTACGTCAAACCTTTAATGATCTTCACATCATTTGGATTACAATTTTAGATTACTTTTAACTTTAGTTAAATTTTGTGATATAGATTTGTATTCAAATTCAAATTGGATTTATTTTTGAAAATATCCTAGATTAAATAATCTCTTTAATAATGAAATTCCTTTTGGTCATTTTTTTCTTGTGAATTATATTTGTGATAAAACTTTTTTAGGATCATCATAAGATTTTTTTTTTTTAATTTTATAAACTATATATATCATTTACAATAGAAATTATAAAACAATTTAAAATTTATTTTTTTTTCTCTTTTATCTGTTCTCTCTCTCGATCTTTCATAGGAAGTGGAGATGAGAAGTTCTTTGAGTAATTGCATTGCACACACAAGGAAGATCGACTAATTAGCTATATACCCTATTCTTGTCTTTTTGTGATAATCATGTTTGCTATCTTTACCATTTTACCCCTATGTCATAGTGTTAACAATGTTCAACTTTGGTTATATCGATCACCTATTATACCTAAACAATATCATTCTCTTTCTTCTGTTTCGAAACTCTCCTTTATTTTTCTCTCTTTCTCTCTCTCTCCATAATCCAGAAATTAAAGTTTTGATTCCATGGAAAACGGTCAAACAAAAAAACGTAATTTTGAAGAAGAGGAAAGAGTAAAGCTTTGATTTTAACAAAGCCTTTAGCTTTGGTTTGCCGTCTTCTGTGGGAGATCCCTCTTAGCTTGGATTTTAATTTTTTATGAGACGTATTTAATGTTCTTGAAGAAATGATGAAATTATACTTCATAAAAATGATGGATTTGGTTCAGATTATCTTACCGAGTTGAGTAGATGAGTTTGATTTGAGTTAACTCAACATAACAAGTTGGTTCATTAAATAATTGGAAGTCCTGGACAAAACTTTATTTGTTCCAGTAAGTATAATATTAGCTTGTCAACAAATCGACACATAAATATCAAAAAATATTGAATGGATAAACCTTTTTATGTTCAGCTAATACTAATAATAATAATTGACAACAGAAAGATACATAACTGTTCTAGAAGTGCACTAACAATTATAGACCGGATAAATCTTTTCATATTCAGCTAAAAATAATAATATTGGTTTTCTGGATGATTGGATTTAATACGTTTTATGTATTCGGCTAAACATGATAATAGCTTTCTAATAATTTGCAACAACTTGTAGTTTAAAAAAGTGTTAGCCGGATAAGAATTTGTAAGTACAACTAATTATTTTATTAGCTGTTATTTTGAAATGGTATAAAATTAGAGGACATTTTTATATGTTACTATATATGTTAACAAGCTAACAATGTCGCAAAACATGCTAACAGTGCCATAATAATAGTGAAAGATACATGAATATCAAAATTGTTAGATGCTATTAAAATTGTTAGCATCCTAACATGCAACCCAATATTATTTTTTTTGTTCTTCCTGGCCATGCATCTGCTGTGTCAGATTTTTCTGAGTTTCTACTGGTTCTTGATGCACGAACATACATACGTAAAAGAGGTGGGGAAAAAAATTCAATCATTACTAACCCCCCAATTAAAAATAAAACGTATTTAGGAAAGAAGCTATAAAGATCAGAAGGTTACTTTGGTAATTGCTACATAAATCTCATCCCCACAATTTTTTGCATTGTGTATTTTGCTAATTATGTAGTTCTTATAGGATTTTCAACAAATTCACCCAAGTTCTTTTGCTTAGATGTTTAGAAATTAATCTATATTTTTTGGAAAAAAAAAAATATATAATATTCGATTTTTCTAACTTCTTGAATGGACTTTTGGCATTATTTTTAATTTTAACAACGGATTTTTGGCATTGTTGTCGAAAAAGAAAAGGACTTTGGCAAATAAAAAGTTTATGGCGGTCAAAGTAAAAATCACTGGCGGTATACTTCAAACCGGATACAGTGAAGCGGGTAAAATGAAAGATTTGGCGCGACTGAAACGACGTCGTCAAAGGAAAGGAAACCCTCAAGCGGTGTAGAACTCTCTAACCTGTAGAGAGTCTCCTCATGCCTTAGTCTGTGCGGCGTCTAGAACGATAAAAACCACCAGAGCGCACTAGAGAGAAACCAACGAGATAGGCTTTGCTCTACAATCTCTCCAATCTCTAGAAGAAGGTATCTTCTTCAATCCCTCCGTAATTTGATCCGATTCAGCTCCATTTTCAGCATCATCCAGAAATTAGGGTTTCGTGTACGGATTTGGGGATTTTTCAATTTGTGTTCATCTAATCACGATGTAGTGTCTTACTTACGTAGAGAAACACGCGTGTTTAGTTATGATGCTTGTAATTGTGTAATGGTGTTTGTTTGTCTGTCTTCCATTTTGACATTTCTGTGTGGTTTTGCTTCTTACTCAGGCGTTGGTCTTAGTACTTGCATCAGACATGGATACAAAACCTGTGGCAGAAAATGGGTATGTAGAGGACAGCGATGATGACAAGCCTATGGTGTTCAAGAGGAAAAGTGGTGTTGTGTCTAATTCGAACCAGTCAAAACCCAATACTCAGAGAAGTAATGCAGTGTCTTCCACCAAGGTGTCACCTTTAAGATCTCCTGTGGCTAGCTCAAATGGAACCACTCCTTCCAATAAAACTTCTGCAATGACATCATCTTCTAAAGCTTCACCAGCGAAGTCACCGTTGCAGGATGTAGAGGACAGCGATGATGACAAGCCTATCGTGTTCAAGAGGACTAGTGTTGCTGCTTCTAATTCAAAATCCAATACTCAGAGAAGCAATCCAGTGTCTTCCACCAAGGTGTCAACTTTGACTAGCTCAAATGGAACCACTCCTTCCAATAAAACTTCTTCTTCTAAAGCTTCACCAGCAAAGCCGCCGTTGCGGAATGATGCTACGCCTTCTGTTGTTAAGGATAGGAGCCAGTCACAGAAAGATCAGTCTGAATGTAAAAGTGAGCGTGAGGATTCTGATGATGATAGACCTATAAGTATGGTAATATCTGGGAATTCCAGCCGGTCGAATAAAGGGCCAGCCTCTTCGAAGCAGGTTTCTTCACCGCAGCCAAGGAAACATAATACTGGTGGTAGACCTCTTGATGGAGCAAATAGAGTCATAAAGGATGAGTCTGATGATGAAAAACCAATCTCGTCAATGAGGCAAAAGAAGATTGGTAGCAGTGGGATGGTAGGTAGTAAAAAGGTCTCCACTGATGAAAAGAAACCTTTGAGGAATGGTTCTGCAGTTAAGGATGAAGTGCCGGATTCTAAGGTCTCAGGTAAGAGACCTCTGGAGAAGAATCATCCTGTAAATGAATCTTCCTTGAAGAAGCCCAAGGTCTCAGCTTCAAGTACTTCGGGGAAAATGAAACAAGAATCTGTTAAAACAGAGAGTTCAGCTGATAAGGGAAGGGTTTTGGTTTCACCTACAACAAAGAGAGCGAAACCAGTATCTACCAGAGAAGATGGCAGTGATGATGATGATGATGTTCCAATATCCAAGAGACTCAAATCAGAGTCTTCCAACAGTAAAGTATCTTCAGCAACGCCTAAAGCAGCTGTAAAAGGAAATTCGAGTTCATCAGCTACAAAGCCGAAAGTAACGAAGAAAGTAGTTTCTCCTCCGTCCAGGTCCAGGACAGTTAACAAAAACACCAAGAAAGTAACGAAGGATTCAAAATATTCCTCTTCTTCCAAATCTTCACCTTCCTCTAGCGATGGTCAAAAGAAATGGACAACCTTGGAGCACAACGGTGTAATATTTCCGCCTCCATATAAGCCGCACGGTATCAAGATTTTGTACAAGGGGAAGCCAGTCGACCTAACAACCGAACAAGAAGAGGTTATCCTCTCAATCCATACCCTCGATCGTACTGATGATATATACCTGTTTCTTAAATGTGTTTTTGGTTCATCTTAATATCCAATAAGGCATTATCTTCCACGCTGATGATATGACAATGATATGTAGGTTGCAACAATGTTTGCAGTGATGAAAGAGACGGACTATTACATTAAACCGCAATTTAGAGACAATTTTTGGAATGACTGGCGAAAACTGCTTGGGAAGAAGCATGTGATACAGAAGTTAGATGATTGTGACTTCACTCCCATATATGAGTGGCATTTGAGAGAGAAAGAGAAGAAGAAACAAATGACCACAGAGGTAGTTAGAAAGATTTTTTTCTTGCCGTGGTTTTCCTTGGTTCTGTCATAAAGAGCTCCATCTTTAGTCTCGAATCGTATTGCATTGGTGCCGCAGACCTGGTTTTCTTACCGTTGAAATTTTATCTTTACAGGAGAAAAAAGCTTTGAAAGAAGAAAAACTCAAGTTAGAGGAGAAATATATGTGGGCTGTTGTTGACGGTGTCAAAGAGAAGGTAATTTGTCCTATAGCGTTTTCATTGTTCCCAAGTTAGAGTTCCTCACTCAGACTTCTGTTTATCTCTCAGGTTGGTAATTTCAGAGTTGAACCGCCTGGGCTCTTCAGAGGCCGTGGAGAGCATCCCAAGGTTATTTCCATTTCGTAGAGACTATTTTTTTTTAATGATCAACAAACTTTGACGTTGTCGGTTTGGGTGGCTTTAATCAAGGCATTGTGTATTCTATTCTGTTTTCTCTCGTAAAACCTGTTTACTGTTATTTTTTCAGATGGGAAAATTAAAGAAGCGCATCCGTCCATCTGATATCACCATGAATATTGGGAAAGGTGTTCCTATTCCAGAATGTCCAATCCCTGGTGAAAAGTATTGTGTCTTTTCCCCATGGTTTACCTCCAAAATAGAAAAACATTATATAATGATATTACTAAGCTATGGGAGATGCGACACTGCAGATGGAAAGACGTAAAGCATGACAACACAGTCACCTGGCTAGCTTTCTGGAATGATCCTATCAACCCAAAAGAATTCAAGTATGTATTTTTGGCAGCTAGCAGTTCCTTGAAAGGGCAGAGCGACAAGGAGAAGTATGAGAAAGCCAGAAATCTTACGGTAATCATCTTTCATTTTTTTGAAGCTTGTGCTTACGCTATTACCGTTCCTCCTTTTAACAAACAGAATTTTTTCCTAACTGCAGAACCACATAGACAGTATAAGATCAACTTACACCAAGAATTTTACATCTAAGGATGTTGCAAAGAGGCAAATTGCCGTTGCTACTTATCTCATTGATAAGTTGGCACTTAGGGCAGGAAATGAGAAGGTAAGTTTTGATTTAAAAATTTTCAAATTGAAAAAAGAAGATATAAAGCAAATAATTGACGCGTAACCTGAATGTTTTCTGAAGAAAGCGCATATTTTATATTTTGATTTGTAGGATGATGATGAGGCAGACACTGTTGGTTGTTGTACATTAAAGGTTGGAAATGTGGAATGTATTCCTCCAAATCAAATAAAGGTATTGGACCGAACAATTTGGTTTCATACAAGGAGACTACACTTCTGAAATTGAATAATATGAATAATTTGGCAAAAAGAGACTTAACATCTCATACATTTCTCCCTTTCTTCAAATGCATCCAGTTTGACTTTCTCGGTAAGGATTCAATCCGGTATGAGAACACAGTCGCGGTTGAGCCTCCTGTCTACAAGGCCATTGGACAGTTCCAGGCTGGTGAGTTATGGACTTTACGTTGTATTTCATAGGTTATCTTTTCGTGATTGAAAACCACATAACTTGCTTCTTTTTTTTTTTTGTCATCCAGGAAAATCCAAAGAGGATGATCTTTTTGATGAGTTAGACACAAACAAACTGAATGCTCATCTTAAGGAGCTTGTACCTGGTCTCACAGCTAAAGTGTTCCGTACATATAATGCTTCATTCACATTGGATGAACAGGTATGTTCAAAATCAGGTTCCCTTTTGATGTGTATTCATATTTCTCCATTTCCCTAGCATTTTTTCCACAACTATGTTCTCTTTTGATTTGTGTACAAACAGTTGAATGAAAAGATGGGAGCTGGCGATGTTAATCAGAAAGTAGTAGTTTACCAGCAAGCAAACAAGAAGGTAAATGATAGTTCATTGGTTTGGCGAATTTTAGTTCTGTACATAACCGATCAGAGATACTTACTGTTTAACATTATTTCAGGTTGCCATAATCTGTAATCATCAGCGTGCTGTCTCAAAGTCACACAGTGCACAAATCGAAAAACTGGATGCGAAATTAAAAGAACTCCAGGTAAACAAGCTTTTCCTGTAAGCTTTTGATAACTATTTGAAGTTGTGTTCTCGATTCACTGTATGCCTTTGTTTGTTTTTGAAATTCCGAACAGATTGGTCTTACAGAGCTCAAAACCAATCTCAAGCGTGCTAAAGAGGGGAAACCACCACTGGAAGGTTCTGATGGAAAGAAGCCTAGAAACTTAGACCCAAACGCGTAACATAAACAATCCCTCTTACTTGTGGTTAGACTTATGTTTCGTTTTTTAACATTTAGGCCATGCTCCTGTGAATGTTAATAATGCAGGTGGGAGAAGAAGATAACTCAACAGGAAGTAAAGATTGAGAAGATGAAACGAGACATGCATACAAAAGAGGACTTGAAAACCGTGGCGCTTGGCACGTCAAAGATCAATTACCTTGATCCTAGAATAACCGTGGCATGGTGCAAACGTAATGAAGTACCAATCGAAAAGGTGAAAAAGCTTTCTTCATTAAGAAACCAACTCTCAAAGATGTTCTCTTCTCTCCTTGATATAAAAAAGAAGAACTCAAATGTTGTCGTTTCATGTTCTTGTTAATAGATATTCACCAAGTCTCTTCTGGAGAAGTTTTCATGGGCAATGGATGCAGAACCCGACTTCAGATTCTAGTTATTGCTTGAGGTATGGGTTGTCAAGGCATTGGAGAGCAAGGACAAAACCGGCCTTTGTTTTACCTTATATACCCCCAAAAAAACCCAAGCTGTTGTTAATTTTTAATTTATGTAACTTTGGTTTTTTACCAAATTTCTTCACCATGACTTGAATGTTATGCTACTTTTTTTTAGATGATAGAAAATTTGATGAAAATAGTTTTTTTTTTTTTTTGCATATATAATTAGTCAATTACTTAATGATTTGTTGTGAACTATTATATCGTTCGAAATAGAGTAGGTTTCTTTTTCTTTCTTAATCAATTTACATTAGAAGCCTTGTAATGTAAAAATGAGTTCCAAAAAGAAGTAAAAAAAAATAATTACTGTAGAGTTTGACCGAACACATAAGAAGATAAATTAAGCTATTTAGGCCGGCCCACACAACATCGCACGGATCCGAAAACAGATCATACCGACGAAGAAGAAGAAGACACGCACCATCTTCCTCCTCCAAGAGGGAGCTTTCATTTGAATCTGTGAGATCTCAGATACTTTCTCTTCTGGCCGCCCAAAGCTTGTCGATTAGAAATCACGTGTAATAATTAATCATCTTCGCCTGCAGGAATTATTTCTGTTGAGATCAGAGTGGTCAAACATGGGATTCCTAATAACAACCCTAATCTTCATCGTCGTTGGGATTATTGCTTCTCTGTGCGTTCGAATCTGCTTCGCTAGAGGTCCCTCCACAAATCTGTATGTTCCTTTGCCTTCCTCCTCTTTTGTTTTTCCATTGATTTAATTGATTGTCGCTTTAGGTTTAACTTGATTGATGCATCAAATACTAGATTAGTTTTGCCCAGAATTTGATGTCATGTGAAGATCGAATAGCTGGGAATTGAGAATTGTAATGTGGAATATAAATTTGATTCATTGACTTTTTGAATTTGGATCCTTGATGATGATGACGATATCTGTAACAAACACACGAATAATGACATTTTTGAATCTCGTCTTGTTCTTTATCTGTCAACCTTAAAGCTTTGTTATATGATCTGTGTGTCCCTTGTTTCTTTGCTTTTACTATGATTTTTGTAACAGTTTTCTGATCTTTGTTTTGTCTGATTCAGGCTTCACTTCACCTTGGTCATTACTGCCACGGTCTGCTGCTGGATGATGTAAGTTTTATGTTTTAAACACACACACCCTCTCTTTATTTGTGTTGCTTTCTAGGCACAGCCATTGTCACGGGTGTTTCTTCTTCCTAGTTTTGCTCCATATTACAAAAAAGTCCTGTTGTTTTCTATCCTTAATTCGTAAACATCAATCCGATTTGCTTACCTTCATTTTCCTGTGGGTATAACATCTTAAAATGAAACAAAGTCACTAACCAGTTCTGGGAGTTGGAAACCAGCATATATAACTGAAGAAATTCATCATCAACATTGGTCTTTTTATCGATGAATATTGAGTTTGATTCTCTGTTGCTTGCTTAGTCACATTTTTTTGTTTGTCTGTGGACTTGTGGTTGTAGGTGGGCGATTGTATACATTGCACAGATGAATCCTCTGATTGTCCCAATCCTAAGCGAAGTAGAGTAGCATCCTCTACTCACTCAGGGTTAGAGGAAAGTATGCGCAAAGTGAGTAATACCCGGCTTGCTACCTTCTTCTGTTTTCGATTCTTGTGTATCTTCTTCAATCTTTTAAATGGTTTGTAATTCTGTATCCTGGTGTGAAACAAATCATAAACTTTTTGCGTCTGTATTATTTGAAAATTTCCATGTATCCAATTCCCAAAAACAGCTGAGATGCTCAAAACAATTGTTTTGTTGATGAAATAATGTCTTAGACGGGGACGAGATTATCGAGTTTTATTCCTCCTTTAATGTTTTCTGCTGTTGCTATTAACAGTTTGCTGCATATATTTATTTTGACTTTTATCATGAAGCGTTTCAATTTAAAAGCGAAACGGCGTCGTTGGGGTGAATATGAGGAAGAGAAACGAAAAGGGACCACCACTCACTCTCTTTAAACTTTCCTTTGTGTGTGAGAATTAACCAACCGACGCTGAAATTTTCCTAAAACCCTAAAAACCTCATCTTTTTGCTGTTTCTTGTCTGAAATCGAACGGTGACAGAAATGGCGATTACTCCGTTGGCGCATCTTAACGAGTTAACAATTTCATCCTCGTCTTCTTCATTTCTTACGAAATCAATCTCCCGGAGTACTACAGTCACTGAATTTGGCGGCGGCTTCCCAAAACGAAGAAACTGTTCAAAGTCCAAATCTTTACGGTTGAGATGCTCCTTCTCTCCGTTGGAGACTGCCAAGATCAAGGTGGTCGGTGTCGGCGGTGGCGGTAACAACGCCGTCAATCGCATGATCTCCAGCGGTTTACAGAGCATTGATTTCTATGCGATAAACACAGACTCTCAAGCTCTCTTACAGTCCTCTGCGCAAAACCCACTTCAAATTGGAGAGCTTTTAACACGTGGCCTTGGTTAGTCTCTCACCACATTATTTGTTAAAGATGTGAGCTTTTTTGAGTTTTTTTGACATCTCTCTGTTAACGCAGGTACTGGTGGGAACCCGCTTTTAGGAGAACAAGCTGCAGAAGAATCTAAAGATGCTATTGCTAATGCTCTTAAAGGATCTGATCTTGTTTTCGTTACTGCTGGTATGGGTGGTGGCACTGGCTCTGGTGCTGCTCCTGTTGTTGCTCAGATTTCTAAAGATGCTGGTTATTTGACTGTTGGTGTTGTTACTTATCCTTTTAGCTTCGAAGGTCGTAAAAGATCTTTGCAGGTATATCAGTTTCTTGTTTAATTTATCCAAGTCTTGGAGTCTTGTGTTGCTTAATTTTGTTTTTGACTGTCTAGGCGTTGGAAGCCATTGAGAAGCTGCAGAAGAATGTGGATACGCTTATTGTGATTCCAAATGATCGCCTGTTAGATATTGCTGATGAGCAGACACCTCTTCAGGACGCTTTTCTTTTAGCAGATGATGTGTTACGTCAGGGAGTTCAAGGGATCTCGGATATTATTACTGTGAGTTGCTGTCTTTGTACAAGTTGGTTTGATGAAAATGTTCACTGATTGTATCTATTGTTTTTTTTGTCAGATACCTGGGCTGGTCAATGTTGATTTTGCGGATGTGAAGGCGGTTATGAAAGATTCTGGAACTGCAATGCTTGGGGTAGGTGTTTCTTCCGGCAAGAACCGAGCACAAGAAGCAGCTGAGCAAGCCACTTTGGCTCCATTGATTGGATCATCCATACAATCAGCTACTGGTGTTGTTTACAACATTACCGGTGGAAAAGATATTACTTTGCAGGAAGTGAACCGAGTATCTCAGGTGCATAGAAATCTTTATTCAGTTCAGTTTGGGTATATTACTGTATTACACAATCCACAGTCTTGTCATGTTTTGGTGGGGGGGATTGCTTTTGCAGGTGGTGACAAGTTTGGCAGACCCATCAGCCAACATCATATTTGGAGCTGTTGTGGATGATCGCTACACGGGAGAGATTCACGTAACGATAATCGCCACGGGCTTCTCACAGTCTTTCCAGAAGACTCTTCTCACTGATCCAAGAGCAGCTGCACTACTCGACAAAATGGGATCAACAGGTCAACAAGAAAACAAAGGAATGTCTCTGCCTCACCAGAGGCAGTCTCCTGCAACTATCAACACCAAACCATCTTCTCCCCGTAGACTTTTCTTCTAGTACTTTTTTCGTTTTTTTTTAAGCACATTCCTTTATCAAAAAATGTAACGATCTTCAGGCTCAAATATCAGTACTGTTGATTTTGCTTCAAATTATTGTCTCAAAATCAAAACTAATATATCAGTGTCATATTATGCTAACCCAAACGTCATTTGATAAACCAATTTTCAGACATTCTAGCTGGGTACAACTGTGGTCACACAACATAACTCATACTTCAAGAGTAGTTAAGCAGTTGTACTAATTTATAAAAGGAGCTATATGTTCATATTAAGTATCTAAACACTAAGCATAGCAAGAATAGTCTATGTTTGTGCATGTGTCTGAAATTAATGTAACAGAAGACATGGATCTCTAGATCATCCCCAAAAACTAGAAAATCATTTGAATCATTGTTTTCTACTCTTTGGCTGTGCCATTAATAATCCAAATGTCACATGAGGCACTAGTACCACTGGAAGGGATAGACAAACCATATCCAGCAGGAGCAGGACAGCCTAAAGTGGGCTCTCCTCCTTTAGTGGCTCATGTGATCCGCCTTCTAAGTAGTATACTTATGTTTCTGCTCAATCTCTCTATGAGAACCAAGAGATTATCACCACCTAACAGTGCCAGCGAGGAAACTCATCAGCACTTGCTTAGTTTCTCAAGGGACTGAACAGGTTTCAGTTGAGATTAATCGGGAGGACTCAAGCCAAATCTCTAGAGACTATACTTGCAGTTTTGGCGGTATTCCTGTCAGACTCAACAAGATTCTTTTTACTATTCCATGGCAAACAACACTAACAAAACATACACATTCTAGTACACCATTCTACTTACAAACTTTTTGTCTTCTCTCAGGTGTTTCATAGAACATTAGAACCATCTCTCCCTAAAACAACTCACAATCAGAGTGAAAACTACAGATCGTTTCCTTTCTCATTTTCACGGTGAAGCTTGAACTTAATCTGTAGAGCCAGAGACCGGAGGTGAAGCAGCTTCCTCTTTCGAAATAGCAACGTAGTTAGTAGGAGCAGCCCGCCTGTTAAGACTCTCCCTTCTCCCTCCTTCTTTTGCAATAGACCTGCTTCCGTTCTGGTTTGCATTCAAAGATAAACGCCGGCTTGGTGTTCCGTTGGCTCCTCCGTTGTTAGCTCGTGCCCCCACCGGTTTCTTAGCACTGACGGGTCTTGCAGGGCTTGGCCTGGTGCTAAACGCAGAGTCTTGCTCTACGTGTGGCTGTTCTTGAACCTTCTTTTGCTCCTATTCATTAAGTAACAAAAGTGAGTTTATTGAGTGATGAATAGGTAGAGATGGTGAACTTACTCTCAGCCTCCGTTTCTCATCTTCTCGTTCTTGCCTAAGCATACCATACTCATCTAACATAGCTAGCAGAGGAACACCGTCGTATGCAAAGGACATGCTGTGTTCCTCTTCCCAACCTCGGATCTTGGCAACCAATGTGTCAACCATGGCTTTTCCACAAACACAAAAGAACCAATAAGATACGACTATCAAAGAGAATGTTGTTTACTTTGAGTTCTTCTACACATACCAGGAATCTTGCTAACCAGAATCCTGGCTTTCTCAGCTCTCTTGAGATTCAAATGCGCGCCTCTGCTTGCACTGTACCTGTTGTGATCCTGTTCTCACAAACCAAAACCATGAAAAAGAAACTCAAGATCCATTTCGAAGCTATTGTCTTATGATTCATTCATCACAGTGTAGTGTCATTACCCGGTTGTAGTCTTCTAGCCAGCTCTCTTCCTCACAAGCTGACATCCATTTCTCCACTCGGTCCAATATATCCTTTCTACTAAACGCTTCTTCTTTAGCCTTAGCTATCTGAGTATCCATATCCGCCAATAACTCAGTATGTTCAACGTTTCCACCATCAATCAGTGACATGATCCTCTCACGAGCAGATTCAGGGTTTATCTCAACGTGTGCACGAGCGTATATCTCCTCTAGCTCAGACTGTTTCTTCAAAGCAATCTCCTTCATTCGGCTGGCTTTCAGCTGGTCAAGTCTATCCACTTCCACCTCAGCCTTAAAAGAATCACATGAACTTGTTACTTAGCAGAACAGAGGGATATTATAGATCAACGTAAATAAATGTAAATTTAACATACCTGCTTGATCAGATCACGTGCAAGAGCTCCTGGCGAAGTGACCTCATCGACTGAAGCTGAAATGTTACAAGTAACATGATCAAATAGCTCCCTTTCTTCATCAGGAGTGTCCATCAGGTTCCATAGATCAATCAGCTGAGTAGCAAGCTCTTGAAGCTTTTGAAGTCTTTGCTTCTTATCATCTTCAAGAGTCAAGACGGTTTTACCCAACCTTGAAAGAGTCTCATTGCTAATGCTCTTAGACTGGACACCTGTTTCTTCATCTAAACTGGGATGAACTTCTGTCACAGTGGTTAAGAAATCCAAACCAAGAACGGCACATAGATCATGAACAGTACTCACAAACTCGAGCACTTTCTGCAGCCTGTCACTCTTCTCTTTCTGGAGCTCCTGGAGTTGGCTGTGGAAAGAGTCTAGATTCTTGAGAGACAGATCAGATTCATCAACTTTGGGAGGAACCTCATTGCTCAAACCACCAGAAATCTCTCCAGATATCTTTTGAATCTGTGATTGCACATCAGAGAACTCTCTGAGTCTCTCCTCTTTCTGTTGCCACAGTTGTTCAAGAGCTGGTGCTATAGCAGCAAGCTGTTCTTTAATCGTTCCAGAAGACTTATCAGGCTGCAACACAGAAGAAACAAACACTCATAAGTCACTCATAAAATATATATTTAGAAAGAAGAAAAAAAAACTTACAATGCCATTAACAAAGCTTTTATCTCCAAGAGAGGTAGTGAGGCTAGAAAGTTCAGCATTAGCGTCTGATAAGGTCTGAAGAAGCTCGGCGCGGGACTTGGCAGCCTGTTCAACTTTTCGCTTGTAAACATGAAGACACTCTTGCTCAATCTGAAGAAGCATCTTGTCTCGTTGCTCATCGTTCTCACCAACTTCATCCCAGATTTCCTGTTGTAAAGTGTCACACAGGATTGAGGAAAAGACATGCAACTTTGGTAGGAGGAGACTGGTTGAGAGATATTATACCTGTAACTTTTGGAGTAAAGTACCACAAGTAATCTCCCCAAGATGAGGACCTTCAGCATCTGAGACCACCATTGTCACGAATTCAGAAGGTTTCCTGCAGATAAAATTAAAACAAATGCCAGTTAGAGACCACACAGAAGTGATCAGTGGATTTTGCTTGAACTCTATCAGATTGCAATAAAATATAATTTAAGAAGTAAAAGAAGAAGCTATACAGTTGATCTAAATCAAAGTTCGTAACCCAAAGACACATCCTTTGCACTCTAGTAAAAGATTAAACTCCACAGACCAAACAATTAAAAGAAAATCTTCAACATGTGAAGCTCAGAACCAGGACGTTGTTTTTAAGCGTGTGACCCAGAAAGCAAACCAAAACAAAGCTTTAAGAATGCAAAAACCTACAATCCGATCAAGCAGAAGTAAAGCAACGCGAGAGAATAAGCAGATCTCTCTGTTTAGAAAAACACGAACTATAAGGGAATCAAAACAGCATTGGTGATAAAACTCAAAGCAAAAACATCAAACTGATCAAACTTAACAGCAAAAGAAAAAAAAAAGGGTTTAGTTACCGAGACCAAGACTTTGATAGCGGGGGGTTTTATATGGGTTTCTCTCTCTCTCAAGTCACAACGACACTCTTCTTGTTGTCATTCTTGTAGATCTGAAGCTCAGTGACGACAAATATAAACTCAAATACTATTTGAGTGAGAGAGAAAATCTTTGAGCAAATGATGATGCAAGAAAATCTATCTATTTATTGATGGATGGGATGTAGAGGTGGTAGAGACGGAGAGGTTGTGTCGGGACCCACACCTCATGCCATTGTAATAAATAGTACTACGATGCAAACTCCAAAATTAACAAACAATACGCAAATATTACCACCCCTTGTTTATCTGCTTTATTACAAAAACAATGACACTGTTTGTTTGTTTACACACACGACAGGTTTGTGTCTTCTACTCCTCCTTGACTTTAGGTGCTTCGTTTGTTTGACCACACAAAGTTATTTCAACAGGTATATATATATATATATATATATATATATATATATATATATATATATATATGGTTTGCTGCTTAAGTTTAAAACTGTTAGTAGAATCCCGAATATTAAATTGTTGTGAAATAGAGCTGCAAATGTTTTTTTTTTTTACACCGAAACTGAAAGACTATTCTATTAATCAAATTTGAGATGACTTGGATAATCAGATCGGAATAAAACAACCAATAAAACATAACTTCCTATGGAAGGATCTAGCAATTCTAGCTAAGAAATCCGAAATCTAATTCTCGTGAAACATGAGTGATTTTAAAGCCTGTGAAGCATATCTGCAGCGTCTCTATCTTCTCTAATTCTGTTGCAAAGCTAGGCCAGTCGTGAGGTTCCTTGATCATGGCGATCAGGTCTTTGTAGTCCGTCTCAAAACTTTGGCAATCAAATGTTGAAGCATATTCTCCATCGCTCATCGCAGTGCTTCCACTTCACAATTTCGTGTTCCCATTAATTGTACTTTCCCAGAACTGTCCATCCAACCCATCCACTCTCACCGAACCTTGTTGTCGATGTCCATGATCCATCTATCATACATATATTTTCCCAGCTTATGGCGTTGGGTTCCTCCGCACTATTAACTTGTAACATTGATGGCACCATCTCATTCGTGTTAAACCAGGCTTGGCATTCACTCTGTACATAACGAATTAGCTCCAGTGGATCTTTATCAATTCCCTTGAAAAGTTTATCATTCATAGCCTTCCATATGTACCAGATTATCTAGGGATAAGGATCACTGTCCAGTTCTGGTTTATCGATGTTGTTCTTCCTCCATAAGAGAAAGTCCATATTCGTGTAAATATTCGGAACTGGGAAAATATATGGGTTCGTTGGAGTCGTTGAGAGTGACCACACTTGTAATGTCGGGGGGGGGGGGAACAAATATGGCATGGTTTACATACTCCTCTGGTTCTCCACATCTGGGGCAATAGCTATCACACCTCATGTTGCGGCGCACTAAATTTTTCGTTACAGCCATATGGCCTGATACTATTTGTTATATAAGATGACAAATCTTCTTTAGCGCTTTAACCTTCCAAGCAAAGGCTTGGATCTCTGTGATGCTTGGCTCTAGCACCTATTTTTCATCCTCTGCGTTTAATAGGTTTTGTGCAACCCAATAGTCGAACTTGACTGTGTACTGTCCATTTTTGGTATAGTTCCAGCAATATGTATCACGCCGATGAGCAGAACTTCTTGCTATACTCTTTATCAATGGTATATCAACAGGGTTGACATAACTCTCTAAAAGATCTACGTCCTACTCCTTCGATATCTGATTAATAAAATCACTGACTCTCATGTTTGGGTGTAAAACTGGGACAAGAGGGATAGCCGGTCTAGCAGGTGTTGTCGGAATCCATGGATCCTCCCACACGTTAACTTCATATCCAGTATGTACTTTTTCTGATTCACAGAAGAAGTAACTTTCTTGCCGATGTAATGCTGGTCCACACATATGAAAGGGTTGCTTACCGAAAGTGCTCTTAAAGGCGTACTCAGTCTATAGTACCTTCCCTTCAGGACTATGCCATTAACCAATCATGATATTGAATGATGTGTTCTCTGCTAGGGTTTTAGGAGTTTTCTTCTTGGCCTCTCGGAAACTTATGGCTATTGGCAGTTCTCTCAAACGATGTTATGTTTTCTTCGTCACAAGACGAGATAATCATTTAGGATGACATCTTTCGAGAGTTGCTCTGCGTTTCATTAAACTGTTGTTCCAACTGATACGGGCTTTATCTATTCTTTGGGCCTTCTCTGGTTTGCTATATTGACCAGTCCGCTAACTGACAAACCTCATCCTCACCATCGACAATTAGGGTTCCTTACCGACTTCGTTCACCATCGTCTCAGAGAGAGATTATGTTACGCCAGCCTGACGATTCACTTCGCTAAGGATCTGTTATGGATTCAGGCTGAATCGAAGAATCATCTAAGTCAACGCAACCTTTAAGAAAATTTCTCCACCACTCTCACGACCTGTCATTGAATGCATCCCTAATCCCTATCACTTCCTTTCTGTAAACTTCGAGTATAAAAAGGTATGTGTTGTCCGGTGAAAATCACCAGTTTAATTTTCTCATTCATATGATTTCTTAAACCATTTTCCCATTTCAATCTTCTTATTTGTTTCCATATGTTCATGTACTGCATGCGACTCTCATAAAAACCACTATGTAAACAAGGAGATGGGGAATGCTGCGTACAAGAAGTACTCTTAAAAGGCTATGAAGCATTACTACACAGTCATGGAGATTGACATGAAGAAATCTCTTAGTCAAAAAATCGTTATGCTTTCCATCTGGAGATGGAAAAGGTGTAGTCTTTATAGAAACCTTGGATCCATTCTCTTTTATAATCTATAGATTAATCGCTTATATTACTGCATAGAACAAACAAAGTTAACAACAACAGAACTTCCTTAGACAAGTCATGTGTCGTGAACCCCATTACACATACCCTTCCAAACTGAAATACTTGGTTAAGAGATTCTGTCAACCAATTGGCGTGCGTAATCGATTATCGTGATCGAACAAAAAGTGACGACGATTCTTGGACCGACATAATCATTGTGTTCAAACCCATGAATTAAGTTTGTACTGGGTCTTACATGATTCCGACAAAGAGATTAGCTTCTCTTCTAAAAACCACTTTGGTGATTTAGAAGCTAAAACCACTTAAACACTTAAGACTTTTTGAAAGTTAAAAAAATATCGAGAAAGATGCCACGATGACAATCAGATCACAGAAGTGTACAAAGAAGATACAACTTGAATACAAACGACAAATTTACCATTTGATTGTATTATTTCACTTACACCAAAACATTCTAGACATAAAGTTCACATTGACGTTTGAGTTTTTATGATGAAATGATATGTTCTTCATCTAAAATTAGCTTCTCTTCTAAAAACCTTTTGGTAATTTAGAAGCTAAAACTACTTAAACACTTGGACTTTGTGAAAGTAAAAATACCGAGAAAGATGCCACAATGACAATCAGATAACGGAAGTATACAAAGAAGATACAACTTGAATACAAACGACAACTTCTCCATTTGATTGTATTATTTCACTTACGCCAAAACATTCTAGACATCAAGTTCACATTGACGTTTGAGTTTTTATGATGACATGATATGTAAACAAATAAGAATCTTCTAATTAGTGAAGTACATAATATAACCAATAAAACTTAATTTCAAAAAAAAATTAATAAAAATATAAATGATGAGAATCCAATAACAATTTTTTTTAAAAAGTTCACTAAAGCAAGGTCAATAGAAATTCAAAAGAATGAAACTAATAATTGATTGCATATTTTGATCATTAAACTCAAGTTAAAAGAAACTAACAAAATATCAAATATCCACAAAAAAAATCAACACAAAATTTTAAAATATTTTAAAAGTAATTGAGAAACAGAATATAACAAGTTAATAACTAAGAATAATTTCATAAAAGAGCATAAATGAAACAAAATCATGATATAATAAGAGACTAAAGATATTGTATGGAAATCAATGTAATTATGTAATTTTTTGGAATTCATGACATAATGTAACAAGCCCATCAAACATGTGTTTCGGGACCTGAATAGTTAAATATATTATAGGGGTCAATTTGACCAAAGATTAGCTGGTTCAGTTGGTTGTAGAGTGCTCATTTATATAACTAGGTGGCAGGTTAGAGTAATCCTCTGTACCAATTTTTATCAAATGTTATATTAAAGGGCCAGAACTTTTTTGGCTTCTGGACCCCAAAAAGTCAGGCACGGCCCTGGCTACTTGCATTCTTCGATCACTATGGGTGTTGAAATCTCCTTTATCCCTTGCAGCGTTGGCTTCTCTTTCACACGCCCAGGAATTTGTTCTGCCTCATTCGACCACGCCTCTAACCTGGCCTTGTTGCTGTCACAGTAGTCAGGCTGGTTAAATGCTTATCGAACTCCCTCTTGGTTTCTGTTAGTACCTCACTTGCTAACTCGGGTTTGAAGGGGCACAAATTATGCTCGAAATTGAAGAAATGTACGGGCTTCCTCTGGCATGCATAATGAAACGCTACTTGGAATCTTTGAAAGATTCTTTGCAGTGTTCCCATCTCTCTCGGAAGTTTGTAGAAATGAGGTTATGGGAATTATAGAAGATCGAGCTTCAAAGATATAAAGACAAAGTATTATTAACACAATCCCACCCACTATAGTGACCTCCAACAGTAAATATTCAAAATTTTACTCAAACTATCAAGTTTTTGGGTCTCTGTAACAGCTTACCAAAACTAGTAACTTCTTTTTGCAAAAAAACTGATGAGTTATAGTTTATTAATGCATAGTAGTGGGAATCTTTCAAGTTTTGCTCACAACTTTTATGTGATTTTTTATCACTTTTTTAAAAAAAAATATCTTTGTAAGGTCCCAGAGCAACCCTGGTCTGGAAGAGGAGTTTTCAATTAGTATTCATTATTAACAAATTAAAGATTAGGTAGTCACGATTAGCCAAGGAGGCGCATGCACTGTTAGGCTTGATCAGGGCCGTCTGAAATAAATTTTAGATCTTGTTATAAAAAAATTGATGATATATTTATGATTTAATGAATTTTTTAAAAGTTAATAACTATGTTCGATGTTTCTTTAAAAATTATAAGTTCTAATCTAGCAATATATCTATTTTTTTAAAAAAAAAATTATCATAGTTTATCTATATATTTTTTAAAAAAAATTCTTAATTTTTCCTTATTTATTCCTTATTTTTTCTTATGTTTATATTTGGGGCACGGTTCGAATGCTCGATTTACACATGCTATTAGAAGGCCCTGAGCTTGATGCTCTCTGCCAGGTACGTACTATATAATCTTGTACAATTGTGTGGACATCTCAAAATGTTTAACACACAACACAAGTAAATGTCATATTGGTTATTAACTATCATGGTTACACTCATACATTTGGATTGTTTTGTTTTCTTAGCTTACATATGTTATTGTCTCTATTAGTACCCTCTGCCAACCACGTTCTGATTTGTTAGTGACATGTAACTGTAAGAATTTAAACTCTTTAACATTGTAGCTTTCTTCCTTTTCACGATCTATACTTTTATTTATTTTGCCAAATGATTTCTTATACAAAAGTGATTAGAACGTAAAGAAATGTAGTAGCAAGAAAGTCAAGCTGGTGCAATGGCTTGTTTGTTATTATGTGGAATTACTAATGGCATCAACCTGAGTACAAAGAATTGTTTGTTATTATGTTTGATTATTTGTTAAAATTTGGATTGTTTGGTTTTGTTTTTGCTTACACATATTATTATCTCTATTATTACCCTCTGAAAACCACATTCTGATTTGTTAGTGACATGTAACTGTAAGAATTTAAACTCTTTAACGTTGTAGCTTTCTTTCTTTTCACGATCTCTACTTTTATTTATTTTGCCAAATTATTTAATATACAAAAGTGATTAGAATGTAAAAAAAAAATGTAGTAGCAAGAAAGTCAAGCTGGTGGAATGGCTTGTTTTTTCTTTTCTTTTTTTTGAATGGCTTGTTTGTTATTATGTGGAACTACTAATGGCATCAACCTGAGTTCAAAGAATTGTTTGTTGTTATGTTTGATTATTTGTTAAAATAGCTTGTTGCATAATGGCGGGAGTCTCTAGTTGTCTTTCTCAACACATGTTTGGTTACCAATGTGTTTCAAATTTTCAATTCATCATTTATTTTTTAGTAAGAAAAAAAAATTGTAGTGGTATAGTCACGAACTTGTAATGAATATTTAAATAATAAATTTAGAGTATAGATTAATCATGGAGACTTTAATGAGTTCTTAATGAATATTTAAATAATAAATTTAAGTTAAAAACTTTTGTTAAGAAACAATTATTTTGAGTGCTCCAATGGTAGAACTAAGCTAAGAATTCTTAAAAATAAATTATGAAACATTTATCTCAAGAAGAAAACACAACCAAGAAAAAGTCAATGAAGGAGACATTACATTCACATGAGAACGAAGGAATCTCAAGCCCACTTACCTTGACAAGCAAAGGCTCCCGCAAACAAGCTCTGCAATTGCAATTCCCCAAACAGAATGGACATGCAGCCTGAACTTCCTCAGTGGTTCTCTCTGATACCTATATATATTAGAGATTCAAGATTCAATAAATTCAGATTCTCATGACACTGCAATCGTTCCAGTGTGCAAGTGAAATATTTTTACCATCTCATGATGCAGTCAGTCATAGCAACAGCGCTTCTTAACCTTGATACATTTTGAACAGAAGACAACATCACTCTTACTCTTGAACATTTTACATTGATGACAAGTCAAACCCACATTCTTTTTGCTTCCATCACAATTATCATCCTGCCAAAGCAAACATTGTTCACAAACATTCCCTCTCTTCGATTCCTAACAACAATATCTACTGAAGCACCTTCATTTGTAGAGTGGATGGATCGTGGAAGAAGGATGATATCACGAGTGAAGTAGGATGGAACTTACAACTACAAGATGGATCAATAGATCTTCTCGGGTTTCACGGCTGTCATAGGTAAATATCGCCACTGCACACTGAACTAAAAAGTTTAGTCTGGGTGCTAAAATGCTTATTTCGTCGCCAACGGTATTGTAATTGTTACGGACTCCCATGAGTTAGTCAAAATGATAACTTTACCTGAAGACCGGCCAGCTTTTGTAGCTGAATTAAACGAGTTCAAAATTCTATAAGCATCTTACCATGACAGACAAATAGTCTATAAGGACAGATCCAGTAACACCCAAACAAACTTCCGGATAAGACAAACTCGAACAAATAAGCGTATTTTCTCGTATGTTAACACGTGTGTGCCACACTGGACTGACACTCGCAACTCGGCTTTTGCCGATTCGTACTAAGATTCATCTTTGTATCTCATCGTGAAAAAAAATAACTACTTCTAATATGTTTAAAACAACAAATGTATTATTTAGAAACAAAAGGATTAAGGAGTATTATCTTAAAATAATTTACTGCAGTTATTAATCTTACAAAATCATCGAAAAAGGTCTCTTCTCATGACAAAATAATCATAACTCAAACCAAAAAATCCTCGTGAAAAACAGAATTTGCAGATCATATACGTACATTACACATGATGCTAATCAACGAGTAATGTATTGAATTTCAGCTCGTTCTTTCAACCACTCTAGCACTTTTGCTCCTTCCAAAATCTCTTGTACCTAAACCATCAATTCAAGAAGAACCTCTCTCTCTTTCAGTTATCTTATATAGTACAATGAAATGATTAAATACTAAGATTCACAAGAGTACTAACCTGATCTTTCACACGTTCTTCATCGTACTCTTGTTTATGTTTCTTGAACTCTGTGATCGAGTTCTCGACTTCTTTAACTAGTTCATCTGTTGAGAACTGCATTCAAGTTTTTAAACAGCGTTTTGTTACTAATTTTTTCTTTGTTACTATCTCTGAGACAAAAAGAGTATAAGCATATAGAATTACCTCTAAATTTTCACGCTTGAAGATATCTCCAACAGCCAGATTCTGCTTGATTATGTTGGTAATGCTCTCTCTTTGAGTCTCAAGAAACTCATTTACTGCTTTTTGACTTGAAAGAGAAGCCAATTGTTCTTCGTTGAGCTTCATGTTTCCCTATAGCACCATGTCATCGCACACTAAGAATCTTAGTGAGAGTAGAAACAAAGCAACAGATAGAGATAAAAGACATCAGAAGAGCTTGCCTGAATCTCAAGAAGCCTAGCTCCATAAAACTGTCTTCCTTGTTCCTCAAATAAAGATTGAGGAATCTCTACTTCAACCATCTAAACAATAAAAAAGAAGCAAAGGACAATGTTTTCAATCACACATATCAACAATGTTACTGCTTCAAAAGCATTATGGAATTAAATGAATAGACCTTTCGTATCTGTTCAAGGATGGCGTTGTCTGTTGCTTGCTCCTTGGCTTCCTGCTCCATCTCTTGGCATCTTTTAGTCAGAGTTTCTTCAACCTGTTCACTTGTTTTATTAGAGAATTACATTGAGAGAATACAATCTTCTTTTGTAGAACTTGTTGACTTCATTACCTCCTTCAAAGTGGTGCATCCAGGGAGCAATTTATCAGCAAGTGAATCATCTAACGTTGGTAAATCTCTGTAGAATAGTTCCTTACAATCAACCTGAAGAAAACAGACAAGGTTTAGCTTATCCAAAGGTATGATTCCTTTCATGTCTTGTATATGCAAGAGAACTCACTGTGAACTGAGCACGTTGGCCACGGAGGTTTTCTTGGTTCCATGATTCAGGAAACACGAGCGAGAATGACTTTGATTCGCCAGCTCGAATACCTAAGATTGAATCAAGGAAGCCAGGAAGCAATCTGTTCCCTTCTTCTGTGTCAAAATGAAAACCTGTACACATAATCACAGCTGTCAGCATTCATTTGCAAAACGGGAAAGACAGGTTTTGAATGGAGTAAAAAGATATGGCTCTGTTGAGATATAACCTTTGCTTTCAGCATCAGGAATGGCTTCACCCGTTGATCCATCCTCGTCTATAGTTGTAGCAGATATATCAATGACTGCAAGATCTCCCACCTGCACCGTTTTGTGAAACAATGAGTGAGATTTTGTAGCAACTATATCATATTTGCAGTGTTGACTATGAACTAAGGTAGCGCGAGTTGCAGAAAAGCAATACGAGGACATGAGAATCTATGCATTCAATTACCTGTAGTCCTCGGTCAGTGACAATCTTCAATGCACCAAGGGACTTGTATTTCTGTCTAAGCTGTCTTTCACAAGCTTTCTTTGCGTCAATCTCATCGCCTAATTCCACAACGACCTTCATATCTTTATACCCATTCTCAGGATTCCATTTCAGCTCAGGCACAACGTCAACAACCACTTCGTAACTGAGGAACAAGTAAGAACCAGAAACCATGAGTCAGAGACCATTCATAGACCGTTGTTCAGATTATTCCATATGTTAAACAAAGTAAGAACCTAAGAGTCTTGAGCTGAGAATAAGCCTTCTCCATCTCCGGAAAGCTGCTTAATATCTGTATCGAGTCTTTCAAAGCCTTTCCAGTCACCTATACAAATCCAAAATGAAACATTAAAGGACTAAACATAATATAACTAAAGAAATAAAAGTTACTTACGGACTCCATGGCGTGAGGAAGTGTTCTTTTCAAGATAGATTCAACAGTTGCTTGCAAAACGTATTGTCTCCCAACGAAACCAACAATGATATTCTCCGGAACTCTTTTTCCAGGACGGAATCCAGGAACCTAGTTTGATTCATCACAATAATCATATCATTACACAGAACTAGTTTAAGTTCTAGTTTCTTACATTGTATTGATTCAGACATTTTTACCTTTGCCATTTTCATGAACTCGGTTAGAACTCTCTGGTAACAATCTTCACAGACAACTGCTGGAACTTCCACACTCAATTTCACCTACAAAATTAAACATTACATCCCAAAACTCAGACCAAACTCAAACTACACACAAATGTTCCAACAAACAGACAAAAAAAAAAAGAAACTTGAAGTGTCTCTTACACTTGAATTCGGCGCTTTAGTCTCCTTGACCTGAAGTTCAGCGGGAAGCTTGTCTTCCTTTACGCTAGGTTCAACCGCCGGAGGGGCCTTGGTTGAAGCCGCTGATCGCCGACCACCGCCAATTTTCTTGGCGGCGCAAGATAGCTCTAAGGGCTTGATTGGTTTCTTCAGCCTCCCGTTGAATCTTAGCACAGAGCAACCATCACGAGAGAAGAATAAACTATCGGGTTGGAGGAGACGAGGAGAACCAAGACGTTGGGTTACACATGAATGAAACGGGTTTATCGTGGTCGTTGAGCTCATAACGCACAGCTCCATTCTCTCTCACTCTCTCTATAGATTGAAGACAGAGCTGAGCTTTTTTTGAAGCGCCACTTCTTCTTGAAGATAAAGCTGTGTAATTTACATTTATATCCTTAACACAGAGGCCGCTATGAAACGCTGCATTTTATCTACAGCCCAGTTAATATAGGTATAAGTCAACCCATTAAGTCATTTCGACAAAATGATTCCAACCAAAAGATATTCTATTTTGAAAATTTTCAAACTCTATATTTGAAGTTTTAAAATATTCTTCTCGAAAAGAAAAACTTCAAAGCTAACTTCAAAATTATTTTAAATTTACATTATACTCTTTATATTTATCACAATTAATGAAGATTCCTAATTTTTTTTATAAATAATTAACACATATATAAAAATATTACAACAATATTAATTAATAAAAATTTACATTAAAATATAAAACTATAAATAGAAATACATAATTAAATATTAAAATATAAGCAAAATACCAGATATTTTTCAGCTCTCCGACATCACAATCTTAACACCGGAAGAAATACTTTCGTCTCTCCGACATCACAATCTCCTTTCATTTTCAATCGATTTAAGTTGTGATGATGGTGGATCAATTTCACGTCCTATTGGATCGAAGAAAGCAAAACTCAAAAAGAAGATTACCGAAGGTAATAATATGGCGGCTGATACTTTGATATCATCCAACCAACAAATCCTTGAATTTTTAAAAGAAAGTACCACAAGTAGAGATAAAATTATGAGATAATTGAATTACAAATGAAAAATGAAACAAAAAAAATTAGCTTTAAAGAAGTAAAACAGAAAAACAAAATATTGCTTAAAACCATTTTTGGTTACCAAAAACTTGTTTGGATTTAAAGATTTTGGAGCTTCCGGGACAGATTTATCAGATTATTAGTGTCTTCATGTATCTTTTTAAATTTCTATAATAATTATGTCTTCCTATACCTTTTTGTAAAAAAAAATTATGTTTGTTCTGTAATATTCTTGTTGTCTAATTCTACTTTTAAAATAATAAAAAATTTATTTTAATATTTTTATTTAAGTTTATGTGTGAAACTTAATTTATATAAATAAATTTGAAGATTTGTGAGATAATTTTTTTTTAAAGATTAAAATGATACAAAGAAAATACTTAAAAATCATAAATAATATATGTATTTATAAGGATCAAATTGCAATTAAAAAGATGAAACTTCAAATTTGAAGTTTTGAAGTTTCTTTTTGGAGAATGAAAAACTCTATATTTGAAGTTATAGAGAATCTTTTGGAGGTGCTCTTAGAGTAATGTTATTCAGTGAGAGGATTGCTTGTGAAGAGGGGTATCAAAATGGATTCATGATGTCAAGCTTGTGGTTATAAAGAGAATCAACCAATCACACTGTATTTGCTTGTTCCATTGCAAGACCAGTGTGAGCTCTTTTGAATGTTCCGACTTCAGAGAATCATACTATACTCCAACTTTCAATGTATTTTTCTGGTGATGGAGGACAAGAAGGTTCCAGAAATGGTGAGAAAGGCTTTTTCTTTTGGGGAATTTAGTACCTATGGAAGAAAGGAAATGTAATCTTGTTTGAAGGGAAATGTGTACCATCCGTGTAAACGGTGATCAAGATTAGTGAGGAAGTTGAGTTTTGGTACTTAGCCTATGAGAACTAGAAAACAAATGAATATTGACGCAACACTTTAGGATGCAAGGCTACGTCTATGGAGACCCCCTCAAACGAGTTCGGTCAATTGCAATGTGGTTATAGATTGGAATCAAAAAAATTAATGGGTAGTGGATCTTGTGTTGTCAGAAATGAAAGTGGTACGGTTATGATGCATAACCGTCGTGCATTTTTCTATGTCACTAGCCTTCATGAAGCAAAGTATTGATAGTTTAGTCAGTCATCATCTTAACTGGGTGCATCACAAACCTCGATTTTAAACACAAATAGAAATAGCTCCATCAAAAAAAAAAGAAGACAAAAGATAATAGTTTGTGCCCAAATCACAGTGCGGATCTCTCTCTCTCTCTCTACTCAAACGTGTCATCATCGTCATCAGGAAGTGGCTGACTTGCTGCGGCTGCGAGCTCCGCCTCATGCCTACAAATATAATACAAAATCTGTTAGTTCACCAAGAATCCTAGCCTTAGCAATGAAATAAGATTAAAAAAAAGGGTAGAAAGCTTACTGTTGCTGAGCAGCCATGTCGATCTGGACTTCTGGGGGAGCAAGTGCAGGTGATTCCACAAAGTGAAGGTTAGGGTCCCTGAAATATGTAAAAATCAACTCTTTGTTATCCTCTTACCATCTTTTTAGTTTTAATCGCATGAACAACTAAGGGTCAAAACTCTTCTTTACCCGGCGAGTTTCCTAGCAAGGTACAGGAATGGCTTCTCGAAATTGTAGTTGCTCTTGGCAGATATCTCGTAATACTGGAGATTCTTCTTCCTGTGGAATGTCACCTGCTTGGCCTTCACTTGCCTGTTCTTCACGTCAACTTTGTTCCCGCAGAGTACAATCGGGATGTTTTCACAGACCCTACACACACAGAATTGAAGACATCACATTTACGTTTAGCAATTTGCCACATACTGCAATAAAACTTTAGCTTCAGTGTGTTCATACCTGCAAAGATCACGGTGCCATGTTGGAACATTCTTGTATGTCAGACGTGCTGTGACATCAAACATGATAACAGCGCACTGTCCATGGATGCTGCAGCACCACACAAACACACAGTTTTTGTATCATTTTGTCAATGCAGTATAATATGATAATGTAGCGAACAAACTATTTGCAACAGGAGAATCAAATCAACTACTATCATCAAATTTTTTTTGTTATATACAATCAAGGTGATAAGAAAGTATCTAATCAAGCAACCAACCAATAGAAGATTCTAGATTATTTATCACAAGGGAGTAAGAAATTGACTTACTAGTATCCATCCCTTAACCCACCAAACTTCTCTTGACCAGCAGTATCCCAACAGTAGAACCGGATCTTGCCACAGTTAGTGAAGAAATCTAAAGGGTGAACCTCAACACCAATAGTGGCTGCAATGTACACAAGCAAGAAAGAAAGAATCAGAATCGGTGAACTCGTGAATAAAAAGGTTCCTATAAACAAAGCACTCCGTGCAAGAAGTACTTACGTTCATACTTCTTCTCAAACTCTCCAGTAAGATGCCTCTTTACGAACGTGGTTTTCCCTGTGCAACAACATAATCACAAGGTTAACAATATAGCCAGATGCATTCCACTATCGTGAACACTCTCTCATACGTGAACGGCAGGAGCAAGATGGAGGCATCACAAACATGTAATAACTATAGCTAAGTAACAAAATCAAGCTCACTAGGTACAAGTAACAAGCTCTAACAAACTCACGTTTGTAAACGGAATAGAGCAACAACATCAACACTACTGATCGAGATTAACAAGTAAGTAACAAATAGGCAACATCAAGTACCGAAGCAGAAACTCATCAAACTCTAGAAAATCGCGTTTTGGAATCTTGATGGATACATCAATGACATATACTCAGGATGAAGTAACAAAATCAAAACTCTAAGAGATAGACTAGCAGACTCTAAAACTCCAGTTTCTAATCGTAATTGAGATGCAAGATCTACACTACTACTAATCAAGACTAAGTAACGGAAAGATAAGACTCATCAAACTTTAACAAATAGAGTTTCTCAAAATTGAGCTAATCCTCTGTAACTGTTTTTGTTTCTAAACGAAGGAAGTCGAAAGCTAGGATGTTTACCTGTGCCTCCGTCACCAACGATGACGAGCTTGAAGCTAGGGTAATCAACGGTTTGCTGGTTAGGTAAAGCCTGAGAAATAAACATGAAAATCAACAACAGATCAAGCCAAAAAAGAATGTAAAACTTCTTATAAAATCAGAATAGGATCTCTGTATAGGGAAGCGTTTATGCAAAGGCATAAGGCGAGACGGAGAGGCACATACCATCGATGAAACAACTGAAGAGGCGGAGATCGAGAAGAAACGAGTCGGAAGAGTTTTGTGATAACAAAGACGGCGAGAGAGAGAAGGGTTTATAAACGGGGGTTGTGAGAGTTCAGCCGCTTAGGATTGACGCAAATGCTCTCTAACCCGCTAATCAACAAATGGATCAGGATCCAGGCCCAAAGAATGTTCCTGATCCATAGCCTTATTCCTTTTCTTTACCTGATTCCTACTAGAATCCCAGTCCCAGCATATTGATCTTTTGCGTAATATTACCGCTCTTGAATTTTTTTTGGGTATGAATTTGACTCACTACTATAGTTTGGAGCTTATAATATAATAATATTCGATTTATATTATATGATTTCTCACATAAATAGTTTTTTACTTATATAATATGTACAAATAATTACAAATCAGTGGTTGTCGGATGCACAAAACGGATCTCTATGAGGCACGAGTTCGAATCCGCTGCTAACTCATATAAACACGACGCGTAGCCACCTTGACTAACGATGAGGTGCTCGCCTCTCGCCATGCGCTATGACGAGGCAAGTCGATCGCCATGTGTAAAACACATGCAAAACAATAATGATCTATTTCTAACTCTTATGTTAGGTTAATCCACTGATAAAAAAACAAAACACCAAACCAAAACACCAATTCCATTGGTAACATAAACGCTTAAAGCCAAAACTCCAATTCAAAAGTATTAAAATCTAAAATAACAGAACTAGAAAACCTTTTTTTTTAACACTTTGAACCTAAAAACCTAAAACACTAAATAATGATTCAAAGTTTTGATTGATAAGAAAATATAGTATATGAGAACCAAGAACTAACCAGTAAAAAGAAAGAAGAGCTATGGTGATGAATAGAGTGAAAGAACAATAAAGACAGAGCTGATCAAGAACTTAGGGGTTGTATAACTATAATATAACTGACCAGATTAGGGTTTACTGATAGATTATATTAGACGGCAGAGCTTAAGTATTAAACCGAGGTTGGTTTAGTGACCTATATATGTACAAACCAAGTTGGTTTGAGAAGAATCAGTGGGGCTTCACTAGAGGTGACTTAAAACATATAGCAAAGCGCTTTATAGCGAGCGCCATGTGTCCCTCACCTGGCTTTGAGGTGGAAATGCGATGAGTACACCGCTACACCTCACCAAACTCCATGGCGAGGGAAGCGATCACTTTTTAAAACCAAGGTAACCACCAAAATTTTCATATTCTCTCTCCGGGGAGAGGGGTCATTCACTACCTTTTTAACATGTACAAATAGCCCATGTTATTGTGATATTTTCGAGATGGTGGCTCTAAACTGTTTATATAGAACTGTTTCTGTTCCACAACTCGAATGAGTTTATTAGAATCCCACATGGTGCATATTAAAGATCTTTGGGAAATATGTATAATGTGATAATCTTACACTCTTGATCTAGCTTTTGAATGTGAGTTAGTCTCATTTCTAATAATCTCAGATGGATCCAAATGATGATTCAGGTCGGTTGGGATGTGAGTAGAGAGTGTAAACTGTGAAATGTGAAGAGCAAAATAATCAGAATTCTTTTTTTTTTTTATGGATGTATAAAATTATATTAATCAAAACACCATTGTTTTTATGAATGTAAAATTATATTAATCAAGACTAATTTTATACTGCTTTAGGTGATTGTGTGTGCCCTTTCGTATCTAGTTCTCTTCTATATATGATAAAACAAGCATACTTTTTTCCTTTTTTTAAGTTGGCTTAACTTTTTTTTATAACACTGTTGGGGTTTTAAAGTTTGAAATGATACATTTTTAACAAAATAAGCCGCGTTTAACTTACTTAATGAAATTTGTGGAGGGATGTAATTCTCTTCAATAAACCCGAACTGAATTGAATCCGGTATAATATTTGAAGGGACCTTATTGTACGGTGTTTTGGTCTTTAGTTTTATCCCATGTTCTAAAACGCGGCCGGATTAGCCGATTACGCGTCGGTGCAGCGTTCGGCGGTAGAACTCTGCCGCGATTATGGTATAATCGGTCAAAAACGCGGTTTAAAAAAATTTCATCTATGTTTTAGTGATTTTGAGTCTCAAATCGGTAAGTATATCATAGATCTATCATGATTTAACTGTATAAACAAAGAAACGAAGTTGAATTGAAACAAATCAACCCAAAAATGATAATTTATGACGAAGAACAAAAGAAAACGGCTGCAACATAATGTCTGTAAAAAATAGGTCAAGGAAGAAGAAGCACCGAAAATACAGTTTTGCCCTTTAAAAAAAAATTAAAAAACTGTAGGTCGAACCCGCGCAAGGAAGTTAAGTGGCACACTATATCACCGCTGGGCTACAACACGTCATATGTCATTTTTGCTATGTATATTATTAAAAAACAGATTACATTACAAATATTAAAAAAATTCCGTCCCGCCTAGATCCCGCGTACTCCCCATATTTTCAATAACTCTCTAGGTCTGGGATAGCAGCCCGACTAACGCCTAGCGTAGTTTCGAACAGAGGTTTTATCTGAACCCAAACGTATATCCGATAAAATTTAAAAAATTCAGAAACCTAAAAAAAAAAAACTCACACATAACTCAAACCTAAGTACCAAAATACTCAGATAAATAAGTATCTATAAAATGAAAATTGTACTCATATTCTCTGTTTAATTAATACTTTTAGTATTTGGTCAAAGTTTTATATTTATATATTTTACAATTGCATTCAAAAATGGTATATGATTAAGTTTTTTCTTGTGAAGTTTTAACAATAATATTTTATTTTTAAACTTTAAATGATGTTTCCTACATTTAAAAAGTTGTTAGCTGGTAGTTTTAATTTGTTTATATTTATCTCTTCTTGAAACTAATTTTTAGTTATGTCACCAGAATATCGTTAGGGTAAATTGGTTAAATATTTGAAGTTTTTAAACTAAAGTGTGGATAAGTGAACCAAACATATATATCTCCAGTCAAGAACTAAGTTGTGACAAGATTGTAGATAGCTTGACTCAGGAACAAAAGTATCAATCATATGTTGCCACCAAGGGTCCCTTGTGACTTCAGCTCCTACTGGAAAAAGAAGTTGGGACTACGGTTTAGGTGGCTTAGAAGTTCATTGCAATTAAATGATTAATCCAGGAACCATTATTGTGGTTCGACGGTTCTTCCTCTCTTTTTTTCATGTTTTGTTGCTCCTATGAGCTCTTTATACCACCTATTGGGAGATTGTGATAGATTATGTGTTTGTCACCAGACATACTAACACAATATAATGTAATATTTTCTAATCCAAATCTAAAATATATAGAAATACAATAATAATGTAAATATGCTAGAATAATATTGGCTTGTTCTTCAAATATTTCAATATTTTGAGGGTCTTCATAAATTTGACGGGCTTCACAATCTTGATTCGTAAGAGACACATCTTAGGACCTAACATATCTCTAATATTTGGGTTTTTTATCAATTGAATATTTCAGTGTAAAAAAAAAAGAGGTGAAACCCGAACTAGTTACAAACCCAAATTTAAAACGGATTCAACCGATTTACGATATATCACTGTATCTGAACCAAACCTGAACCAACACCAAACAGAAACTTATCGAATGGGCCTAAATATTGAGCTCTTAAAAATTCAAAATCAAATTGACCCAGATTAAATACCCGAACGGCCATACCAAAGTAAGATGTTTGTTAGTCAGAAAAATAAAAGGGCAAAATGTTTGTACATCTTTGTGGTGTGTGTTCTTTTCTCTGTTAACCTTAAAATTAGAAAAACAAATATCTTGCTTTCCTCTAAGAACATCCAAAATAAATGTTCAGATTTTTTTTTTTTTTGGTAGGAGGCAGGAGACATGAGTCTCCTACTTTTTATTCAAAAAATAAAAGAATTACAAGCAAATCCTCCGAGGTCTAGTGACCTCATGAACATCCTCAAAAAACAAAGAAACAACACTCTCTGGAACAACCTCCAAAAGATGCAAACCAAGCGGTAAAGAAAACGCATAGTTAGCTAATCCATCCGCTAGATGATTAACTTCCCTATACACATGAGAAATCTTGACTGACCAGTCTCTTGATATAAAGCCATAGCACAGATGTACTAGGAAGGACAAAGGATTAGAATCTTGGATCCCTGTCTTGAAAAAACCCACCACGCTCTCAGAATCAACTTCCACTTCAAGTTTCCGAATACCACGGTTCCATGCTATACACAGTCCGTAGTATACTCCCCACAGCTCCGCCAACGCAGCCGAACAGATACCAATGTTGAGTGCAAAACCTTCCTGCCATGTTCCATGCTCATCTCTCACAACCCCACCCGCTGTAGCAGGCCCATGATTGCCTCTAGATGCTCCATCAGTATTCAACTTGAACCAACCATCAACGGGTTTCCACCATGCGATCTGTTTCTCCACACGTTCTCGGGTTGGCAATGCTGTACTTAGACTTGCATTTGCACTCATCAATTCTTGCGCCTTATCCCAAAGGAACTGCACCCTATCTCGACATCTACCTTCATCACCAAAAACATAGCTACACCTCCATTTCCAGCACCCTATAAATGATCAGATATGCAACTAAGTTACGTTCATTAATACGAAAAATAATAAATTAAATAAATAGTAATTTTCCGACCAACTTAGAAGGCGTTATTTTCTGTATTAATAAAAATAAATCGTAAGTATCCAAACTAAGACTTGGTGTGCAAGGCTATTTCTCTGTACTAATGAAGAGGTTTTAGGTGGAGAAAATGGAACATCACCAACTTGGACCTCTCTCGCCTTTTGCTTAACAACAATCATGTCTCTCTTTCTCAGCCGGTTCCGCGTTGGGGTGAGAAGATCCTCCTCTGTTTCTCTTCTTGTCTCCAATAGCTTCTCCAGTTCCTTGCGGCAAAATCCTCCTTGTTCCATCATCAGCGCTACTCCTTGTGGACAAGATCTCGCAAAACTCATAATTGGCAATACTAATCAAAATTCCAGCACTCAATTGGACAAGCGAGTACCTATGGAGTTGGTGTATAATGATGAAAAAAAACTAACGATAGGGGCATCTCATGGATGGGTAGCTACTTTGAATAAGGATGGAATCTTACGTCTACAAGACGATCTGAACCCGTTTGCATCTGAAATAAATCCCATTCGCATCAAGCTGCCTCCTCTTGTGACTCTGCGATACTGCCAAACAAAAATCATCACCAATGTTTCAATGTCATCAGCTTCTCCAAAGGGTGATGAGGACTGTGTCGTGGCTGTCAAGTTCTTGGGACCTCAACTCAGTTTTTGCAAACCAGCCGGTAAGAAAAAACGGAAATGGACCAACATCAAGATCGAAAACCCCTGCTTCTACTCCTCCCGTGTCATGTTTTTCAAGAAAGACAACATGTTTCGTATTGTTGGATCTGGAGGCCACCTCATCGGGTCATGGGACCCATGTAATCCCAGCGATAACCCCAAGGTGCAGAGCGTAAAGTTCCAAAAACTTCCTAAGCTGATGATGGCCACATGTGAGCTTATGGATTCGTGCTTCACGAGCGAGCACTTGGTGGAGTCAAGAGCCACCGGTGAGACTTTCTTGGTTAAGTGGTACAAGAAGACTGACAAAATCGTCCAAGGTGTTGCCAAAATGAAAACAGAATTTTTAATGGTGTTCAAGCTTGACGAACAAGGAAACGCGGTCTACTCTCAAGACATAGGAGATCTCTGTTAGATTCGGGTTTATTATGGACTTCCAACTTAAAACCAATTGGTGATAAGTGGATTGGCCCTAACCCTTTATATATTACTTAATTACTTCTCCAACTACCGATGTGGACTTAGTTTCATTCATTAACACTCCCCCTCACGCTCATGCGTGGACAACTGTGGGAACAACATCCACGGAGTGGCCCAACATCGGGTGGCTCTGATACCATGTTAGATTCGGGTTTATTATGGACTTCCAACTTAAAACCAATTGGTGATAAGTGGATTGGCCCTAACCCTTTATATATTACTTAATTACTTCTCCAACTACCGATGTGGGATTTAGTTTCATTCATTAACAATCTCACCATTTTCCTCTCAAAATCTGAACCATTATGTGTCCATGCTACTTCGTTTCCTGGTTTGCGTCCTAACAGCGTTTACACCTTGGATTTTGATGAAACCTCGTTTGTAAATTTGAATGACATCCCCGTCTCCGTCGCTAGTGTAAGTGGTACACATGGCGCTCCTTATCATATTCCACCTCAAGATATAGACAACAGTTTGTAACTGAGTCTTGTTATGTTCTCCTTGAGATCGTTATATGCGTATTCTCTTTATGTTTGAAATTTCTGCTATACTCTCAGAGATAAGATTATGTTTGAACTATTTCCATTTGTTACCTGNTCCCCGTCTCCGTCGCTAGTGTAAGTGGTACACATGGCGCTCCTTATCATATTCCACCTCAAGATATAGACAACAGTTTGTAACTGAGTCTTGTTATGTTCTCCTTGAGATCGTTATATGCGTATTCTCTTTATGTTTGAAATTTCTGCTATACTCTCAGAGATAAGATTATGTTTGAACTATTTCCATTTGTTACCTGCACCTTTGAGTTTTATCTTACGAATCTTGTGATAACAGCTGCATGAGATGAACCATCTCCTGCAGAATCTCTGAGTTTTGTTACACAGTATTCTTTTTCTGGTATTGCATCCTTCTTTAATATCTTCGTCAACATAGCCTTAAAATTTGGACAATTTGTTGATCTCTTACAAAACAGAATACTTGAACGGACACCACACCTACTATGAACATGTGAGTTTAATAAGTCTGACCAGAAAGATCGAAAAACCAAAGAAAGGAAAAATAAAATAAAATAAAATAAAAGAAATATTTGAAATATAAAATACGAGTTCGATTTTCATATTTCACTGAGCTTGAAGAATAAGAAAAAAGAAAAAAGAAAAAAGATTTTCATATTTCACATACAAAACACGGTGAAGTACATTTACTGAGTCTGAAAGCCATCTTCCTCCATGTCTTTTAGAATTCCTCTCCACCCAAATTGTGTAGATAGCACAGGATAATAGTGTCTATCGGCACTTGATGGGGTTCATAAGGGTTGAAACCGTGGCTTCCCAATCAGGCAAAATTGCTTGGCCAAGTAATCTTCCAGCAATGTTCTCATTTCTTTTCCCACATAGCATGCATATTTGTTCTATTCCCAAAGTCCTCATTCGGTCCCTAGCAGACAATCTGTTGTTGGAAGCAAGCCAGACCATGAAAGAGAAAACCAGATAAGTTGACTCCAAGGCACTTTATTCTTCTTGATACGTAGATGGTTCTATGTCTGAGCTGAAAAGAATCGAGTTTTAAACTCATCATTATCATGCCTCCGAAGCACCTTATAAAGGATCAGGTACCTGAACAGATGCTAGCACGGCATGGATCTCAGGAAACCTACGCTGACCTCGACTCTGAATTTTCTAGGTTGAGCTACTAGCCGCTGGAGCAACAGTTGCTACACGATCTATTCCCAAATACATTATCCCTATTTTATCCAACAACTTACCTGTTCCAAGCCATGTCCACGAACCAGATGAATCATCCTTTGCATCCCAATAAGATCCATCTTTAAGTAGATATTTTTTAGTCCAAGACACCCAATATGGTTCAGGATGAGCGAAGAGCCGCCAGATGAGACGCAATGCAAAATAACTAGATTTTAAACTATTACACCTTCTATTTCATTTTTTTTTTAAACTACACTTTATTAAATGTGAATGTGCATCTTTATCCAGATTAGCTACTTCAATAATTGAATTATAAATTTGAGATCAATAATATTATTATTATTCTTGTTTATGTTTAAGCTAAATTTGTGTGTTGAGATAAATATGCTATTTTAATATTTAACTTTTTATAATAACAAAGATACTAATAAAAGAAACAAATTATAATTTGTTTGGACATTACCAGAAAATTTATATGAATTTTATTTTATTTTTCTAACTTTATATAAACAAGTCAAATGTTTGTCAAGAGATAGATAATCGAGATGAGAAAATTACAAATCCGAATAACACTTGAAAATTCATGAATTGACAAATCTCTAAATGAAAGAAAGAATAAACTATGAAACCAAGGATATTTTTTTTTTCTTTTTGTTTTTTTTCTTTCAAAAAGGAGGATAATATCTGACAAAGATGAGATATCGTTTGTTTTTTTTATTATTGAAATCAAATAATATCATGTTATTTTTATAAATACATGAAACATGTTTAAAATATATAAATAAATCATATATATTAAATAAAAAAATTAATCATAATTTTTAAATTTTGAATCAATCCTATCATTTCTTCCGCGGTTATAGTAATGAAAACTTCTTGTACACTTAAATGATAAATCATGGTAAGTATTTTACAACAAATACATCAAGGGTGGTAATTGGCAATACCTATAAATTTTTTCTTGCTTTAGTCTATATGTTGTAAATTTTTCTGTTGTAACTGTAGATTATATTACTGTAGATTTATATCAATAAAATGATTTTCAAATCCAATATATTTCTTATTTTAAATTTCTGGTTGTAGATTTAACTTATTCTTTATAAGCATGATTGAAAAATTTAAGTGGTTGTAGAAAGAAAATGAATTCATCTGAATAATCTTCTTCATTAAAGTTACGTTCGGAAATTCTAAATTTAATCAGTTTGATACAAAAAGCAATCTAGGTTTAGTTTATAAAAAAAAAACACATTGAGAATGTGATTAGATGAAAATGTGATATGCAAACTGTACAGGTATATTGTTAATATTTGCTCTAGATAGAGAACATATATGACTCATTCCTTTTGATGTATAATTTTTTTTCTCTATTAGAAGGTTTTTAGTTCAACGTCAGGTTTCAGTTTAATAAAAAATACTAAATCATGATCTGTGCACCCGCATGGATTTTATTTTTGGAATATATTCTATATTATTTAGTTTTATATTTTCGAGTTTGTCCAATTTCATTTTATGTTTGTTCGAAGTGCAAAATCAAATTTGAACTTAACTGTTTGCATTTTGATGATTAGTTGAGAGTTTAGTTACTTATGATTAGACTTGGAATTTAATATCCACTATCCGTTATTCGATCTGGGATCCGCTCCTATCTGCTCCAAAAAATGGATATCCAAGGGTCTGGATTCGGATAGTGAATTTACAGATCTGAAGAGTGAAAATTTAGGTGTAGATCCGGGTCCGAACCCACTATATATATTTTTTAAAATATTTAAAATATAATTATATATATATGTATATTATATAGAATTTTTATATAAAATAAATAAATTTTTATTTTTTATTAAATTTCAATGATTTTAAACCACGCTTTAAAAACGTGGAATTTTATTAAAAATGTTACCAATGTTTTATTAATCTGCAAGGATTTTAATTATTTAAAACTTTTTTACATTTAAATCAACATCTTTAATTACGACTTGGACCTGCGGTCAAACTGGTAAACCAGGTGATTTGATATGTATCCATGTTTAGATTTTAAGAAATATCTATTATTTAATAATCCGCTATAATCCACAAAAACCGCAAAAATCTGAAGCTAATCGGTTGTGCTGATGGATAACCGATATGAAATCCAATATTATAATAATTATGTTCGTATGAAAATCAAAATAGTAGAACCGGTTGTGTTTCTTTTAAAATATTTAAAATTGAAATCAGGTATAATTAACCTTTTTAATTTGTCTCACATTGATTGATGTTATGTTACTATGTTATAATAAAAATGATCAACTATTTTTGTTCAATTTTGCTCAGAATTGTTTTCTAAAGGTTCAAAATTATTTCTAAAAGATTCAAAATTATTTCTGAAGGCTCAAGAATTTTTTTCTGAAGTGTTCATAATTTTTTAAAGGGTTTATAATTGTTTCTGAATGGTTCATTATTGTTTCTGAAGGGTTTAGAATTGTTTGTGGAGGATTCAGAATTATTTCTGAAGGGTTAAAATTTGTTTCTGAAGAATTCAGAATTCTTTTTTGAAGGATTCATAATTTTTCCAAAAGGATTTAGAAATTTTTTCTTCTAGGTCGTGAATTATTTCTGAAGGATTGAGAGTTTTTTTCTTAATGGTCCATAATTGTTTCTGAAGGGTTCTTAATTATTTTTGAAGGACTTAGAATTGTTTCTTTAGGGTTCAGATTTTTTTTCTTAAAGATTCATTTTTTTTCCTAAATGCTTTAGAATTATTTTGGAAAGCTCTAGAATTTTTTCTAAAGGGTTCAAATTTTTTTCTATAGGGTTCAAATTTTTTTCTCAAAGATTCATAATTGTTTTTTAAGAGTTTGGAATTCTTTGTGAATGATTCATATTTGTTTCTGAAGGATTCAGAATTTTTTTTTAAGGGTTCAGATTTTTTTCTGAATGATTCAGAATTATTTTTGAAGGCCCCATAGTTTTTTTGAAGACTCCAATTTTTTTTCTGAAAGGTTAAGAGTTATTTATGAAGGGTTCAGAATTGTTACTTCTGAAGAGTCTAGAGTTGTTTCTAAAGCATTCACAATTTTTTATGCAGGATTCAAAAAATTTTCTAAGGTATTCAGAATTTTTTTGAAGGGTTTAAAATATTTTCAGAAGGATTCATAATTGTTTCTGAAAGATTCAGAATTATTTCTGAAGGGTTTGGATTTTTTCTGAAGGGTTCATTATTTTTGTGAAAAGTATACACTTTTTCTCAAAGGTTCAGAATTGTTTCTAAAGGCTCCAGAATTTATTCTGTAGTGCAGAATTGTTTCTGAAAAGTACAAAATTGTTTCTAAAGGGTTCAGAATTATTTTTGAATGGTAAGATCTTTTCCGAATGGTTCAGAATTACTTCTGAAGACTCTAGAATTTTTTCTCAATTTTTCAGAATTGTTTCTAAAGGATGCAAAAAATTTTCTGAAAGATTTAGAATTGTTTCCGAAGGGTTCAAATTTTTTTTTTGTGAATGGTCCAAAATTGTTTCTTAATGGTGAAAAATTGTTTTTGAATGGTTTATAATTGTTTCTGAATGGTTCAGAATTGTTTCGGAAGGATTGAGAATGATTTATGAAGGATTCAGAATTATTATTGAAGGATTCGGATTTACTTCGAAAGGGTTGAGAATTGTTTCAAAAGGATCGGAATTGTTTCTTTCTCATGGGTCTAGAATTGTTTCTGAATGATTCATTATTTTCCACAAGGATTCATATTTTTTCTCAAGAATTCAAAAAAAATTCTGAAGTATTCAATAAAATTTCTGAAA